ATCATTATATCTTTTCTGTGACCCGCTATAAAAAATGTATGATCGCAGTGATATTTAATCATGTGACTAATAGCGTGACATAATTTCAATTAATATTAAAACCAATTAATTAATATCTTTAATAAATTACTTTGACGTGATTATTAATATAAGTCTCCGTGGGTTTATTTCTGGCTAACATATGGAAGGAGGGGGACATTTTTTTCATAGCTTTACATCTTAAAATGTAAATTTTGGAATAATACATAAATCGCGAATAATATATAAACTATTATAAATCAAAGTAAATTTTAATGTACTTCTCCTTTCTTCCAATATTCTTGATTCTGACATATATATAATTCATATATATAACTCTGAGTAATCTTCGAAAGATTTTTAAAGATAAAATTATTTATATAAAATTAAAGATAAAATTATTTATATAAAATATTATATAAAATTGAAACATCAAGGTAATTTGAAGGAAGGAATATACCAATGTAAAAATTTGTTAAAGTATTTTTCCCTTAATTCTTTTATTTTTTTCATTAAACATTTACAAATTATTAAGATATAAAAAAATATTTCTTTTCGTTAGAAATATATAAAAAATATATGTATATATATGAATATGTGAAAAATATATGAAAAACTGATGTATTATTTAAATTAAAACTTAAACCATTTGAAAATTTATTTAAATTTCAATAATTTTATATTTATATATTACTTTATTTTACTATTATTACTTTCTTTTATTTTAACTAACAAAACTATTTGTTTAACCTAAAATATCGTTAAAAATAATTATGTACATGAATAATTATTATTCATGTACATAATTATTTTTAACGATATTTTAGGTTAAACAAATAGTTTTGTTAGTTAAAATAAAAGAAAGTGGTTCAGAATAAAGAAATCATAAGAATTTTTTGGTCAAAATCTAAGAGATTTATTTCCTACATTTTTACATAAATTTTGGAAAAAACTTTATTTCGGTTAAAAGCAAAAAATATCGATTATATAGAAGGATAAGAAAGTGTGCATATCGAGAAAAAAATTGATAAAGATGTCTATACACGAGTTTTATACGAGTTTCTTGAATCTTTTATTTTGAAATAATTTTATCAATACTTGTACTTTTTAGCATAATTGCTTGAATAAAATTAAACCTATTTTCGTGGATAGACTCACAATTATTTTCCAATCATTATTGTACTACGAATCCGTTTGGCATTCTCTCGAAACCATATAATTACCTAATAATATGCAGATACTGCTTTTGAGTTAAAAATTCGCGGAAGAAATTGATTATGAATAATTAATTATTGAAGCGTGAAACATTAATAATACCGTTAGCAATTTATGAATCGAAAGAATCCACCTGTTCGTTATTCGTATTCTCAACAACGGAAAGACAGTCGTAACAAAAAAGACAATCAGCTATATACATAAAATATATTAATTACAATTACATTTTATTTATTGTTTATCGTCACGTAATTTCACCAGAACAAAATGCAGATTCTTTTGTTTGCATACGATTATCATATAATGTACACGTAACTTCTTTTATGCACGTTTTTTTTTTGTGTCACTAATATATTATACAAGGTCGTTGCATATCATGGTTGATAGTAAATGATAGCAAAAGGCTATTGATAAAATGCGACAAATGCCAAATAACATTTTAGTATCGAAATATTCAATAATTTTATCGTCGTTAATTGTAGATTTTTTTATCGTTAATTTAAACATCCAAATTTTCTTTTAACACACAACGAAAAGAAAAAAAAACAAAAGTTTTTCATAGAAAATTACAAATCCCTGTCTGCCTGTCCCTCGAAATTCCCCGTCTGTTCATTTACGATGCGAAAAAATGCGACTCAATCAAACAACATTGATACTATAATAACTTATTTATCTTTATTTGTTTTCTATAGATAAAGATTAATTGATTTGAAAATAAGTAATAAATAAAGCCTGCACACTTAATGTGAAACATTAATTCAATTATGTGTGAAAAAATATACTATCACACACACAGTATTTCGAAGATATATAAAAGATATATGATTTCGATTATTCTGATTCACTCGTTTTATCTACTACTCTATAATAATTTTTTCAATGTTTATTAATTTATTAAATGTTTCTTAAGCAATCTTTATAAGTATAAGCAATCTTTATAAGTGTAAGCAATCTTTATTAAGTGTTTCCTGTTCTCATATATATCAATTGAAGACTGAGCATATTTTTACGATGAATAGAAGTTGTACCGAATAAGCAATTCTCCGAAACTATTTGGCTTTTAAAACATCAATTAAAATGTTTGTTCGATGACGTAATTTAACGTTGTTTTTTCTATATAGTTAAAATATGTTAAAAACTCCGTATATAACATGTGTTCTATTTCTAGACATTAAAAGATTCAAATTTTGTTTATATAAATTTATCTTTATAAAATTATAAATCTGTGTGTGTGTGTATATATATGTATAAAAAATTAAAACAAAAGCAAAACAATCTTTCAATATTATCTAGTTATGAAACTAAAGAAAGATAAGAAACGTGTCGTCCGATTGTGAAATAAAAAACTAAAACGTCTCTTTTTTTTGACGCGTTGCATCTTTAATGATTCTTGCTTGCATAATTGAAACTGTGGAACGTGTATTGGTACGTAAATGATTAGCATTTCAAATAGTATGATAAAATATGATAAACTATGAGTAGAAATTTTTTAGTTTTATTATTAAGAATTCTTAAACGGAGGAAATATATTGTATGTACTTAGCGAATAAACTAATATTAACATTGTTAAAGAGAGAACTTTAAATCCAATATTATATCCACAATTCTTTTCGTCAAGTTTTCATAAGTTTTTTATACGTTTTACTTAACAGTATGTTCTATTTATTACAAAAAACTACTTATTGTAAAAATTTTTTTTTAATTACAATAAATTATTAGTGTCATTTCAATCATTCAAAGAGCATTATTTTAATTATATTTAGTTTCATTGGAAAATAAATTGATAATAAATCCAAAAGAAACTTTCGATCATCACCAAAATTGAAAATTCGATATACTGAAAAATTAAATCCTGTAAAATAAAACACATATTTTCTTTATTCCAATATCAATCAGGATCAAATATCTTCGCTATTTTACAATTTCACTATGATTTTCACTCTTCTTTTAATAACATGGGGATATAAATGTTATACAATGCCCTGCCTTTCACCCACTTTCTCTAACGTGATCACGTGGTCATCATGCAAATGAGTAGGAAAATAACTGAAAGATAGAGAGGAAAGAATCTTGATTTACGAAAAAGTAGAGAAAATAGAGAACTCGAGAATAGAAAAACAGCTGATTCACAGAGGGAACTCGAAAATAAAAAAATAATAGAAAAAGAATATATCAGTAATAAATATGGAATTGATAAAATGTTTTCGAAATTCTTAGAAAACATCAGAAAAACATAATTAAAGTATTTATATAAATAATATTTTGACGCATGCACGCACACACACACGTACAGATATCGTAACCATAAGATTTGCATATTTGTACATATACTATATTATTATACATATACTATATATATATATATATATATATATATATATATATATATATATATAATCTTTGACAGCTATATGTATAATATAATCGATATCGCGATGTTGGACATTAATATACACAAGATATTTTTATTCAAATTTTTCAGTTTTTTTCGCTATAATATTTTTTAAATATTACAAGCCTGTTAAACTTTTACATATTATATTTAAAATATTTATTCGCCGGTAATTTATATGAATGATCCTGATGTCATTTCGTGCATTATAAATATAGTATATTCTTGAATGAAAGACGACATAATTATATCGTACGATTGGCGGAACGAAAGCGTAAGTAGCGAGTAGAGACAGGTTTAATAAAAATTCATTATAGCACTGAACGTAGAAGAGGTTAGAAGCTTAAGTTACTCGATATATAACAGATTTAGATATATTATTTCCTTCGTCAATTAATTGTTTTAACGAACGAATTACTTACAAGTCACAAATGGCACTGCCGGCTTTATAAACGTCGAAACTTTGGCAGATCTTGAAGAATTTCGAGTAATACGAACGTATGTCCACTTACTCGCACTGCCACGAAAAGATTACATCGAGATTCTCTTCCCGAGTTCCCGACTCCGTCAAGAAATATTGCCATAATACCGGAACGAAATATAACTTTGGAACTTGGTTTCCTGCGAGTGGAATAAAAACGAACCAAGCAACATTATAACTTGCATCAACGTCACAAATAATCGGTATAATGCAATTAAAATACCTATGAAGAAAGTGATAAAAATTTTAATTTTATTCAAAAAAAGCATCTATTGTAAAAATATCAGATTTCACGCTCTCACGTTGGCCATGGATGCCATTATCGTAACGAATAACTGTGACGTCACGAGCGGACGTCACATCGGACGATCTTTATCACGTATGTGCATAAATACGTGAATCGGTTATGAAACCAATCATTGCCAATTGTCTTTTAGATAGAATTAAGTCACAATAAAATATACGATGCATCATAAAATAAAATAATTACAAAATAAGATATAAGAAACCTTCGAATTAAAATATTAGAAAAAATAATTACAGCTATGTATCATACAAATCATCGTCTATCTAACAAAGTAAATTTAAATATATTGAATTATTTCTTTCTTTGAACATGAAAAGAATTTTTTTTACACTTAAGTTATTTTGAATATAAAAAGAATTTGTTTGCATTTAACACATCTGATTGTACTTACGCTGGAAAAATAAGTAATATTTAGTAACGTTAATGTATACATTTCTCTTTCGATGAAATATTTATATATATATTAAAATATTGCTTTTATTTTTTTACATTGTAAAATTATATATAATTAAATATGTGATATACTATAATTATAAATTATATGAAAAATGGATGAAATTTTTAATATTTGTCATGTGTATTTAGTATTTTTGAAAATAATTTTTTGTTCTTCTCAGTATTATTTTTATAATCTCTTCATGATTATCTTTTTTGCAAATATAATTTGTTGATGTACGTGATTATGATTCACGATATTTTTCATATTGCTTGTAGATCTTTACAAATAGATACATAAATGCATTCTTTTTTTTCTGTTTTTTCTCATACATTTTTTGCTTGATGTTGCATAGTATTTCTTAAAGGCATAATCTAAGCCATTGCAGTATATGCCATGTTAGCGATTACACTCTACCTTCCAACTTGGCAATGGTATCGTGCACACTTTCTATTACACTATATATATATGGACGTTCCATTGGATTGACTTTCAACATTGACAGGATTAAGTCTTGCATATCCTGAAAAAGAAAAATATATATTTATGATCCTTGAAATATTAATTTCAAGGATACAAGACATAAATAAGATGCAAATAAGACAAAAACCTGCCCATGGAGAAATCTAACTTTATTTAAAAGTCAAAATAAAAATATATTGAATTTAATGTATTTATTATAAATTAAATTTAATATATAATTATAAATATTTATATGAATATTTTATTTTATTACAAAACTTAAGTTAAAGTTATACATATATATTTTAAAATATAAAAAAAGCTAACAAATTCGATAAATATGATACTTTGAAAGTTCATTATATAAACTAAAGAGAAAATATTATAAAATAAATATTAGTTATTTATAATTAATTATTGAATACAATGCAACCTAATTTTACATATTTTCATGTATAGTGTTACAAATTTAACTTACAAATATTTAATCAACGAAATTAATAATTTTCTTTTACATATTTTTGCATATTTTAAATGTTAATTTTTTTAATACTAATGATTGACAAAGAAATAAAGAGAATGTAAATGTCTTATATTATTAATATCTAAATCATGTGAGAAAATCATATGAGAAAACATACTGACTAATTATGTAACAAAAAATACTATATATTTGAATTAAAGATATGTATAATCTTCTAATTTGTATAAATTTCTTTGCTCAAAAACAAGATTTTAATAATAATTTATATAAACTGTTATATATATATATATATATATATATATATATATATATATATATATTCGAATTTTGACTGATCAATATTCAATAAAAGAAATACGTAATATTAAATATTCTTAGTAAAAAAAGTTATATAATATTAAGTATATTATTATAATATTATGTAATATTGTATAATATTCATATTAAATATTTACTTTAAACTAAAAAAAATAATAATAAATATTTAATGAGACATAAATAAAAAAAGTTGAATATAATACTGTAAACTAATTCATCCATAAACTTCATCTATAAACTAATACAATTTATAATAAATATTTCATTATTTTATATATCATCCAAAGATTTAAATTTTGAAATAAAAAATTAAAAATACTATTGATAATATTTATGATAGATTTATAAGAAACACAAAACATATTATTACCTCGTTATACGGAGTATTTTCCGGAAATGTTACATGTGCACTCATTACGGCAAGAGCTACACTGTCACCACGTTCATAAACAGTATCAAAAGGAGATTTAAAATAACATAATGCATATAATATACATCCCAATGACTGAAAAAAGGTAAATTTATAATAAAATTCTATATCAAGTCAATGCAAATGTCATTAAAAATACATTGAAAGAAGCATAGAAATACTGTAACACTTACCCAAATGTCTGTTCGTTCGTCAACCATAGAATAACTCTCAACGTTGAATAGTTCTGGTGCTCTATATGGCATAGAGCATCTTTCAGCTGCTAAATCTTGTAAAACCCGTGCAGCTTGAGTACCACATACTTGAACTCTAGCAGTTGCCATAGAACCTAAACAGTGATTTAATATTTGATAAAGAAAAAATTTACATATGATAACTAAATGTATTAATAAGATATAGTAAAATATAATCTACCCAAATCCATAATAATAGGTGTTCCATCATCGTTAAGTACTATATTTGCAGTTTTTAAATCTCTGTGAGCAAGAGGTTCTGGTTTTATTTCATGAAATGCTTTCACACCCTCGCAAATCTGTAGAAAAATGCTGAGAATATCTATAGGATTCATGTAATCACAATTTCTTGCTCGTCGTTCCAATTCATTTGCTACAGTTCCTTTCTGAAATGACATCAAATTTAATAGATTTATAAAACATTGCATTGCATGAAATATTACAGTTTTATTAAAAAGTTGTGTCAACTTACGTGATAATACGGTAAAACAATAAATACTTCACTCGTCGTGTTGAGAATTGGATCCGCTGTACCTATACGTGTCGAATCTATGCATTCTATAACGTTTGGATGCTTTATCAGCTTATAATATTCAATTTCTCTCATTGCTAATTGTTGGTCCTCTGATCCATAGCAAACAATTTTCTTAATAGCATATTTTTTATGTGTAACAACATCTTCCACTAAGAGTACCGTACTGAATCCACTAAAAAAATGGAAAATTTTGCTGTTTATCTACTGTTTTAGGAAATATTCATTGCCTTTGTAAAATTTATAAGAGACAGTATCCTTTTTTGCAAATTAAAAGATTTTTTATTCTTACACAAGAGATTCCTTTGTTTTGCATCGAGCAAAGTAGATTAAATTATTTGTTTAGAAAGATCAAAGAATTCTAAGGATATATTATTTTATGCAACTTGTCGTACAAACCGTGCGATTGTCAATAAAAGTAAAAAAATTATGAAAAAATTATGCGTATTAATAAATTTATTTGAGAAACTTACCCTTCACCGAGATGTTCGCGGACCCTGTATTTCCTCGAGTTTACCGTAATAGTCTCTTTGGCGCATATACAACCCAATCTTAAAATTAAATTTAGACCTAGACTATTCATTTTCACAGTTGTTTATTATCTCATCGCGAAATCAAATCGAGATAGATCTGGCGAGAGAGAGAGATATCTCGCCGTTCTCTCTCTCTCCTTCAAAACATCAAACGTTATTGTGACACGTCAATTATAAATAGGTTAGGTTGAGAATTTCTTCGACGACGCTTACGCCAAAATCTTTCGTTACTATTGCCATCTATCGCCATTTTAGAGTATTTTTTAATGTTCCATTTTCCGGCTGGTAAAATCGCTTTTTAAAGGTCTGTTCGTGTTGTTCGCACTACCTAGATTTTTTGTATTTCCCTCTCTCTCTCTCTCTCTCTCTCTCTCTCTCTCTCTCTAACGTTCAAATATACAGGGTGTCCCAGACCACCTGTACACCCCTTTTAAAATGAATGGTCTGGGACATCCTGTATATTTATCTCATTTTGCAGAAATTTTTTTAAAAAGTGCAAGCAGGACGAAAGCAGACTTTTATGTCAGATAGAAAGAGTGACATGATAGTATTATTGATGATGTGATAGTATTATTGAATTCCTAGTGATAGTGCTGAATATTATCACACAGTATTCGATCTAAAACTCCAACAAGAGTCCAAATTCTCACTTGAGGTACCCTCTACAATTCACATGGTTCTGCTTATCGGAAAGTCGGGCGTTGATTGGCCGGTCGAGAAAGTAGCGGTGGGACGAGGAGGAACGACTGGCAATCGAATAAAAGGGGGAGGAGGTGCGATTTCGCGCGTTCACCGCGATTCCGAATTATTTCTGACAGATTGACGACGGCAGGCCGCGTATCGGGAGTCACTGGCCGGATAACGAGACTGACAGGCGAGTGCTAGCGAGAGATCAACGAGATGTCCGTGATGGGTAAGGTAAGTGAGTGCGACGATTTAACCTTCTCGCCTACAGTAGGCGAGAGCAGCCGGGTGATGAGCTCGCTCGTTCTCGCACGTCGTTTCCTGCATCGCCGAATCTCGCCATGACGTCGTGGCACGTTGACACAAGCCGATGAAGCCGGCGACCCGCCTGAATCCTGCGTGAGAATTGCAATAAATTCGGACCCTCGGTGTCGCGGTCGCGCGAAAACGATCCATGTATTTAGCCGCGACATTGGCAGAAAAGTATAGTCTTTCCATATCGCGGACGACGTGGAAAATTGAGCTTTATATTGATCTCAGTCTTCGATAGCGGACTCGCGAAACGCGCTCACCGCTTACTCTACTCCGGAACATCCTCGATTGACAAATGTACGTGCCTTGTAAATGCCTCGTGTATATGTGTATGTGTGAGCGACCGATTGCGCGCGCGCGCGCACGATTACTATTTCGCTCAAAATTCCAGCGAGCGAGTGACAACTTGGAAATGTCAATGCAGCTCCGAGAACGATTAGGCGTTGAAAGGATATTATTTCAAAATATATTTCTTCAAAAATCTTTATTTCTGAAAGATAAATAATATTAAAAAATAATAATAAAGCTTCTTAAAAAATATAAAGTTTACATTTATCTATGTTTTTTTATTTTATTTTTAATTTTATATCTATCTATATTATTTATCTATATATATTTATAACAATTATTTTACAAATTGATTACTTTTCATCGTTTCTTAATAGAATTTTGATCCCCACAACTATCGAGATTAAATTAAGCTTTTAATCGCTTATGCTTTTAAAAATACATTTGTGTATAATGAATTGACTTTTTACGTATGATTTTGAAACATGAAGGAAACTTTTAAAATGTTAAATTTCTTTTGGGTAACTTGATTATAGAATTTTTTATGTCAGTAATTTCTTTTACAAGCTCGTAAAAAAATTTACTTTTTCCAAAAAATAATTACTTTGCATGAAATATGTAGCTCCGAATTATTTCACAGATTGAGAAATTGACTATTATTAGTATCGTATGGATGATTGAAACGTTGTTTAATAAATGCACATTTTAATACTTACGAATCATTCCTATTTACTAGTGTCCTATCTACTCCTGTTATCGCTTGTAATATTTTTTTCTAACGCGCGACTGTGATTTCATGCATCATTATGATCGGCCTCGAGCATGGAAAGTTTTCAAGGTCGAATGAATTTTGTCATGTATTTATATTTTTTCTCATCTTTTTCGATAGCCCGTGCTTTACTCCTACTGGCGGAGTTCGTGTTCCTGGAGAGTAAGAATTGGTGAGTGCTCTATTTAATAATTATATAAGATATAATAATTTTATGCTGCATATATAAACTGCACTTACGTAATTTACTTTACTTTTTCACTTATGTATTTTGTACATACTTGATTCATTCATTTATAGCATCAACTAAACTGTGATTTACAAAAAATATAGATAATGAGTTATTTTCTATAATAATTTATAGGAAATATAGATAAAAAGTTACATTTTGAATTCATCGAGCCTTTATGTAACAAACTTCTTTATTCTTAATGTAATTAGACAGAATTTCATTACTGTTGTCCAGATAGCTTCCTTTTCAAAAGTAGGTCCTAATAATCTAATAATAATATATATTTATCACTAGCATTGAATCTAAAAGAGATACCATATGACATAAAGCCTGTAAGTCTGGTAAAAAGTGGTGGAGAACAACATTCCAATGAATTTCGAGAGATTAATCCAATGGAGCAAGTGCCTGCGCTCCATATTGACAATCATACGTTAATAGAGTCTGTAAGTATACTTGATTACATATTGCACCAATTATTCTTTAAAATTTTTAATAATAAGCGATTTCTTTACAGCTAAATATTCTACAATACTTGGAAGAAACTAGGCCGAATCGTCCACTGATGCCAGCGGATCCTGTCAAAAGAGCCAGAGTAAGAGAGATTTGCGAAGTAATTGCCAGTGGCATACAACCATTGCAAAATCTCGTTGTTTTAATCTATGTCGGAGAGGAACGTAAAAAAGAATGGGCGCAGCATTGGATCACTAGAGGATTTACAGGTAAGTCATAAAAGTTTGCTATAAATGATAAGTTTCCCTGTTTTCTTTGAAACCTTTTTTTTGCTTTGAGATTTAAGTAAATAATCTGTTTTTAACTATCATTTATATAACTTTTATATCTTGATATCGAATTTTACATATTCATAATATGAAGATTATGAACGTTTGCAATTATAATCATGTACATATATCGCACCTAAGATTGAAAAAAAATTAGATAACATCAGCATCTTTAAATATATTGAAAATAATACTAATATATAAATAATAATATGTTGGAAAAAATGACAAATATAATCGTTAATGAATTAAATAGCGACAAACAACTCGAGCAAACACTGATAATGTTGTTTTTTCAGCGGTAGAAAAGTTGTTATCATCGAGCGCGGGCAAATACTGCGTTGGCGACGAAATTACGTTAGCGGACTGTTGCCTAGTGCCACAGATTTTTAACGCACGAAGGTTTCACGTTGACCTAAGACCGTTCCCCACGATTCTGAGGGTGGACCGTCATTTGGAGCATCATCCGGCCTTTACTGCGGCTCACCCCAACAACCAGCCCGACTGTCCACCGGAGGCGACCAAGTAGCAAGCGAGGCAGACCACCCTTTTTCTCTTCTAATTCTTTAGGAGAGTAGAAAGAGGTGGTCCAACATTATGTGGTCTCATAGTGACAAAAGGTGACACGAGATTCATTCTTTGCATATTTCACGTGCACTTGAGATCGTACTAATCATTTCTCAAGTCTCTTGTTTTTATATCGTAAATAAAATTATAATCTAGCAAAGAAAAGATAGCAAATTGCTAAATCAAATAATATAATATGTCATAAACATTCATTGCGTATATCTTTAATTATACAAGCGCGTTTAATTGTAATGACGAGTATACGAGAAGAATACTTTTAACTCGTACTATCAACTGATAAAATGCTATTATATATTTTGATAACGATATTTATATCGTTCATATATCAAGAAAATGTCCGATATTAATTGCACCTTTTATCACTTATGAACTGCATATCGGTACCGAAATGGTTAACGGTTAGCAACAAAAGCGAGTCTCAGGCGGCGGTTTTGATTTTAGATCATGTCGCTTATTTTTAGAACACGAACTCGCGCCATTTCTGTACTAGCAAGGGAAAAGAAAGAAATATTGGCCTATTTTTTAAGTTTTGTTACGTTTTTATACGATTTTACATGATTGATCGAAATTTATTTTCACATCGATATTTTACAAAGATATATTATTGACCTATCCCGAATAGGTTCTGTTTTGAAATCAAAAGTTTACTTTTTATATATACTTATTATAATTTTTTATTTTTCACTTTTGTTTATATAGTATAAGAAAAAAGAAGTGGATGTTGCTATTAAATCCTAGCGAATACTCCAAAATCTTCGCTGGTACGTAGGGTAATGACTCTCGTATTTACGCGATATATACGAAGCACACACGAATAAATTCATAATGCGAAATGATCAATATTCGAAGGGAAACGTGTAATAAGGGAATGCGCTCTGCTCAATATCTCCCAGAATACCTACGAAAAAAGTACAAATCTCACATTTTTTTTTGATATCCCAATCATAGAGTGCATTAGATTTGTTTATTTTTTTTTATTTGCATCTTTTGCATTGAAATATTCAATAACTAATATTTGATTGATGCTTATACTTCATCTTGTTCCAAGATAATTTACGCAGCAGCCTAATAAGATATATATTAAAGCAACAGCCTTTTCTTTCTCTAAATGCTTGCATTTGACGCTTCTGTTATCTTTCGTTTTTTTAGAGTAATCAAAAATTTTTTTGTTTATATTTGGGAAATGTTTAATTTTCGCAATAAATGCGAATAAGGCAAATAGATTTATCATATTTTTTTTATACATATACGATACGCCGTGTAGTATATTTTTTTACTTTACAAATTTTTAGGTTTAAATAATATTTTCTCAGAAATATACCGGATTTCTTGATACATATATTTTTTTAAGATTCATAAAAAATGGATTTAATATGCAACTGTAATTAAATAATCTGTGATTTGGAATTATGTTGTGCAAAACCGAAGTGAGACGTTGATGCGAAGATTAGAATGTGCCATTGAAATGCCGTAGTACAATCGCGAACGATTTCAAACACAAACGAGAGAGATACGTGTGTCGACAGAATCAAAGTGTATATTTATGCTCTTACAAATAGTTTTTCCGGGTTCAGAGCATGTAACAAACAGAGAGATATTGATATTTTTCACGAATGTTTTTTATAGGATCGCTCTCATTGTAAAGCTGTGTTATATACATGGCTCTCGTGTGCCCTTCGAGAAATTTTATAAATGCAAACGTATCGTTTGTCAAAAAAAGTCAAGTCCTGTAGATATATCGAACACGACCGATCTCTGAAGGCCGATAATCAAATTACATCTGGCATTCTTCCTTATTGCCGCGTTATCCTTCTTTTTTTTCTTATTTTATAAACATCATGACATTTGCACATATTTGAAAAAAAAAATCATTATTATTATGATATAAAGTCAATGATTTTTTATATATCGCGTACGTCGTAACTGCCTTTTTGAGAGTTTGACGAGTACTTCTTCCAGTAGCCTCCAGCCTTCGCAATTATTTTTCTATAGCAGATGTAGTGAAGATATAATTCATGTAATGAAGATATAATTCTCTTTGTGCGCTTTCCAATGGTGGATTAAGGATCAAATCAATCTCAGGATGTCTCACAGTTAAATCATCAACAAATTTTGTCAGTATATTTTTACTGATACAAGATGTCTTATATCAATTTTATATCTGAACACATCAAGCATTATCACGTTATATTAAAAAAAAAGAAAATACATTGCGCTTAATTTTTCGTTCCTATGCCATTCTCTGTTTCTTTCAAGTTAACATCATTAAGGGAATTAAATTTAATATCTTATGAATTTTGACGCCTTTATCTTGTTTTAGTTCAATGAATGGCAAATCTTTTCGATGAATTCTTATTACAAATCGATTCTTGTATAACTCATTTGCTTTCACGTTTCCACATTTTAATATTTTCATCATAATTTTTTAATGAAGCGTACATATCCATAAAATACACTGACAAAGTTTAATTGTTTAATTCTGGGACACCCTGTATAATGATTGCAATCTGAGACGTCCTATGTCGCGCAGTATTTTGGGACGAGTAAGAACAGGTGTGTCTATACACACGCTCACACATAGACGTATATTAATCGACCGAGTGATTAAATAATAATGTATATAATCTTTGTATGCGCGAGCCACACATTCCCCTCCGACAGACCGCTCTACAAATATCCGCAATACCGAGCGAAATAAGCATACTCGCGAAATCGATTTAAACTCTCATGCGTGTTTGCTACGTTTTGATAACAGCGCCTATGCATATTATGTGATGATTCGAGAGAGTTATGTGCGTAGAAATGTGCGAGTTAGAAGGATCTCGTCGTAATAAACGCGATGATCCTTGGCGTAATTAAAGGTCAACGGATGAGATCTGAATGTGATCTTATGCCCGTTTATCGAATTTTTGTACCCGAGTTACGAGAACTCGTAAAAGCGGACAAGTTAATAATTTTGTCGAAACTGAGCTGTGTTATTTGTAATTATCGCGGTAGCTCTTATACGATATTATAAATATATATCTTGATAGTTTCGAAAAATTGCAATTCCGCAAAGTCGACCTATGATTAAACGAAGAATTTTCATCTATTTAGCAGCTCTGGAGCTTAATTCATTAAAAAAAAACAGAATTGTATAGTTCATTTCTTAGAATATTATATTGTTTTAGATAGAGTACTCCCCTTTTTCCACAAGAACTTTTATCTTCAATTTAAATAAATAACTTGCAAATCGCCTTTATTTTATATTTCTACGGGAGAAGGAATGTCCCAACCGTTTTTGTGCTTCTTTATTCCTCACAGTTCCCTAAAGAATAGCTTTACAGATTTTTACTTGTAGACTTTTTGTCCTGTAATTCTTCTTTTGCTGTAGACAAACGCTCCGCTTCTGTTGATCCTTCGCTAGATCTTCCGGTATCTCATTTTCGACAAGCTGACATATTATCCATATTAATATATGCGTGAGAAATATAAAAACGACACTCGCATTGTGCAAGAGAGCAATGAAGTGGTAAATCAATTGTATATTTGTTTTATTACTTTACTTCCGCTCCTCTTTTTCTTCTAATCGTATTTTCGATTATGGTTCTAGAATTTAGCTTTAAGAATGTAAGCTCGATTTTTTTGTACCGTTTTTACGAATCCATCTGGATAATCCGACCGAGAATAATATGGCAATAAGTATGCCGTACAATTTTCTCCCGTTATAATCGTTCTAAATCGATTCTTATAGACGACGTAACATTTTTTACGCGGAAGGATGCGTGTGAAGGCCGTTTAGGAGTAAATGAGAGCGTGTACAATAAATGTAGCGACTGACACGTCGATCTCTTCGATACGAGGAAGAGTACGAGGGGCGCGTAGATATTTTGTAAGCGAGAAATAAAAATGATGTATGTTCACACAATGCTTATATAGCGAATAAAAGATTCTGTGTCAATAGTGTATGTATAACTACGTTTGTGGTAGAGTCGCGAAGGAAAGAGAAAGATCAAAACAGTAAGTGCATTCATAATTGTACCGTCATTATAGCCGAATAAAACTACGTTTGGTCTGTAGTGGCATATTTTTTACTATGAGCGAGCTTTTTTTCATGTAACGAAAGATCTACAAATATATATAAACGCTAAATGATAACTTTTACCGTTTCTTCTGTCTGCCGCAGAAAGATTTCTGCGAATTTTATATTTTTACTTTTGCACAAAAGTTCCTAAATTACATTCCCAAATGTAGAAAAATTATTTAAAGATCTTTTTTTTTTTCTTTTTCTTAAGACTCTCGAATATGTTTCCTTTTTATTATGATGAAAATAATTTTATTAATCTTCGAGAGAGAGATATTTTTATTGCAACAATACAAGTACATTAATTTATAAAATAGAAACGATATATATAAAAAATAAATATCTGACTTACCGATGAAAACTGCATCAGATACTTTTCTTCTTCTGGTTTTCTCGAGTTGTCTCTTTCAAAGAGAAAAAGAAATTCTCTTTGACAAATCGAATCGCGATCGAAACGAACATAAGTCGCGATATTTCACCATAAATTGATGCATGGTGCGCGCAAGAGCTCGTAATAAACTGTCGGGACTAATTATAATTATCTGTACAAAAATAGCTTTTTATTTCTTACTTCTTTAAGAGTTTACATTACATATCTTTCTCTTTTATTAAAAACTCGATAATAAGATCGTTCGAAATAGACCGTATAATTCTCGATCCGCCCGCTGATCAACCATCACCTTCTCCGTCTTATTTACAAACAATTCGTCGTGTAAAAAAATACAATCCTTCATTTTCTACTGACTAGTTAGAAGAGACTATATCGTCTCTTATACGCTCGAGATTGTACACTTAATGGAATGTAAAATGAGAAGAAAAGAAAAAAAAAAAGAGAGAAAAAGATGCGTGTATCCATAATTACGACATGCTTAATGAGATACACATTATGTAAATATATACAAAGAAGATACAAATATATATTATATATATATTCGAATATTTTAATAATATATATAAAAGCCGTGATATGCGCGAAACAACAATTCGCCTGTGCCTTAACATCACAAATTTGATTGACAACGATTTGTTGACAATTGACCTATGTCCCCCCCCCCCCCAATCTTAGAATCGGCCGGACACGGATATAATCGCGCCTCATTCGAATATTGCCACGAATATTGTGTACATCGAACGGCTCTCTTTTTCACGCACAATGAAATCTGCATCTTCCATTCGCCGCCACGTCAAGATTTTACAATCTCTGGGATCAACGGTACAGTTGCGAGTACATCGCGTTACATAATCGCGTTTTACCGCGAGAGACATTATTAAAGAGAGAAAATGTATATATCACAAATTTCTGATCGTCTATCACGCTTCATTATGGAGATTAAAATAATGATATACATAGAACGATCCCCTTAAAAAACATTAACATTAATAATAATTATGAACCTCTCTCTGGAAGCAGAAAGTCTCAATTAACTTCAACCGATGTTTAACGGGGAAGATCCATTAGATTTGAACAATATAAAGGCGCGCGATCTGTCCATCTGTACCGTTGCGATGTTTTTCTTTCTTTCTCTTTTTTTTTGTCGAAATTTGGAAGGCTCTCGCGAATTCATCGCCGTCTAATCGTGCGAGATTAGACGCAAACCTTCCCAATTTCCACAAAATTACAATCGTACTTCGTAACTTGGATCGAGTATATAGAATAGAAGAGACTAGAGCGTGTTACCGAGAAATTCAGCCGGGAAATATTTCTTTTTTCTTTGGTGAATGAAGAGAGAGAGACGATGAACGCGTATGACGTATGATCATACTGCGACACTGAATGGACAAATGGATGGATGTATGGACGGTGGCCAGGTCATGAAATGAAGAACAACAGAATGCATTTAATGAGCGATTGTTTATTATGCTCTTATTATGGTCACTTGTCATACAGGTAACGATGCTTCTCAATGAGTGAAAATAGTTAATATATTATGTTTGTTTGTTTGCTTTTTTTTTACTTTTATATAATTATTCAACATTGAATGGAGATAAATTGAGAGATGATGAAAGAATAACAATTTATGAATGCAAATAAATGTGGTTAGAGTGTAAAGTAATAATATTATAAGATTAGCCCTTCGGAAAGAATGCTCGTGTGTGTGAACTAAATTATATACTTCATCGATAACAATAATAGTGATGCCCATTAAAAGAGAGGTCACGTCGGGATCAAAGAGCAGTTAATTAAATTTCGTCGACGAGCGCGAAAGTGCAAAAGTAAAATCATCGCTCCTCGCGGTCGATCAATAAATAGAGAATTCTCTGTAAGCCTTACGAATATGCTCTTATCAACTTCATTTGACAAAATTGCGCTTCGATTTGCCGTTCTTTTCACCGTCGCGTATATAGTCCCTTACACACATAGCTCTTTGCCGTATGTATCTCTCCGAGATATTTCACGCGATCGTTCACGGTATCGTCGATCATTGGATATTATTGTTGTCCTAAAAAATTATTATTTTGCGATTTTGAAATTATTTTTTAGATTTTGAAGTACATTACACGATTATTTTTGAGGTGGAATAAAATTCGGATTGATCCAATGCCAAGAAATACGCTTGTTGATTGACATTTCATCGATAAACTTTATATTTTCTCTATATAGAAAAGAGAAGAATTTATGAAAATTATTTCTCAAAAGTGATTCGTTGAATTGTCAATACGCATGTGTTCTTGGCATATTCTCTTAATTAAAAATTAAATGTATCACTTTTTCCTCGACGGAGTTTCTTAACATCGTGCAATGTCATAAGCAATGCATAATGTCGAATTATACGATTTATCGTTGGGAAGTTATCGAATGATTGAATGATTTTCAAATTATAAAATTAATAATAAAATTGATCAAGATGTTGATGATTATATACGTTTTGTTTATCGTCTTCATTACCGAGAGATAATCGCAGCGAAATCAAGATCAACGATACCGCGGACACCTCGCTATTATCTCGATGATAACCGGTTACAATCTTTTCGCCTATATTCGCTTTCTCGGGTCCTTGCTTACTTGCCTAAATATCCGTATCTTCCGAAGAGTTACGACTACTTTTACCACTAACTTAGCGTAAATATCGATAATCTTATAGTTTTCTCTCTCTCTGTCTAGTAAGGAGTTGAATATCGCAATACCCTTTTTTCCTATATTTTTTTTCTCTCCCTCTCTTCGCGGAGGCGAGACACGCCTCGGAATATTAAAAAATACGCAATTTTGCCCATTGCTCGTTAATGCACCGTCGTTCTCGTTTCGTGTTCGAGACAAGGAAAAAGAAAAACCGAACCGTGTGCACAATTATAGCATAAAATGTATAACGATGTGTGTGGATTCTCTTTTTTTTTCGTCTAATCGTGTGTACGGCATAATTCGCTTCAAACTCGGTAAAACACATGATGATGAAGAAAGAACGCACTGTCGCATGTATGTGTGTTGTGTGTGTATGTATGTCGTGTGTGCACGTGTCCTTAAATTATTTTATAGCCGAAGGAATGTAAGGTACAATACTCTTGATCGTGTAATTTCATTATCGGTGCGAGACGAATAAATCTCTCTATGGTACCTTTGCAGCCAGCTGCTCTCTCTCTCTCTCCCTCTCTCGCCCTCATATATATCTCGATTATATATATATATATATGTATATATATATATTATATCATATATGGAAGATAACGCTATTTTCTCTCTTTCTCTCAATCTAATAATTCGCCGAGTACGTCATGAGACGCACGAAAAAGACTTATCTCATCGCGAAAGTGAAGCGCAAACGCGCGTTCTCTCTGTTTCATTTGTCTGCAGGATTTTCTATTCGTGTGTAGGCATGCAATTTTGACATTATACAATGTGTATGCGTGTATGTGTGCGTGTTTATGTGTGTATGTATGTATGTACGTGAACGAGTCATGATTGTTTGGGATGAGAGCACACGCGCACCCACATGCACTTGCGACTTTTATAGCAATATATACTACTTATACTCAACAAGGTACTCAATAGTTTCCTCTTTCTTCCTTCCCTTCCTCCCACCCTTCGTCGCTACTTTATTTTATTTTTTTATATTCATTTTTTTAATCCCCGAGCTGCTATGTTTGCTACTTCTACCTCAACAACAACGATCTCACGTCTTGTGTAATTTTTTTTTTTCATATTTCTCTTCTCTTACATTATATGCTCTTACCCAAAATAATATACCATATTAACAGCCTAACTCTATTATAATATTCTCACTTCCGATAAAATAACATTACATACAATTTTGTACAATCCTCTTAATTATTTTGTAACGAATGTGTGTTCTAGTTGTCGCGCGGACACACGTAACATCGCCTCGTTATGTGTGCGTTTCGATACATTAATTTTCTTTTCTTTTAGTTGATTTTACTCTTTTTTTTCTCTCCCTCTTCCTCTCTCTCGATTAAATGGTCTTTCCGCGTTACTTTATGAGAATGATGTTGAATTAGATAAACGATAAAGATCGTGATATGGGAAATATATATCTCACGTCGTGGCTAATCGAATGATTTCTGAATGCTGCAATCTTCGATAATCTGTATGCTATCTTTCGTGCGCGCGCGCGCATTACATGTATAATAAAACTTCGTTTCCGCTATTGTCAATCGATGCGATACACGATGTAATAAATAATTTCCTCTTTTTTTTTTGCGACGTTCTCTATAACAATATATCTTAGTGTAACATGTCCCTTAGCGTAATATATTACGTTTTACATTGATTTCCTTGGCTATCTTGGCGAATTCGCCCTATCGTTTAAACATTTGATTATAGCGAACGATTGCAAAAAAGTGGCAGTAAACTAACAAGTATAGATAAGCAAAATTCTTAATATAGAGAAAAATGCAACATTCTTTCTGAAATAATAATTAATTGTAATATATATATATATATATATATATATATATATATATATATATATATATTTTACAATGCTAACACTTGTGTGTATATATATATGTCTGTTTTTCTTTTTTTTTAAATTGTTATTTGAATCGTTATCCATTAATTCATTAGGCCCTCCATCCGCCTTCCGGTACAATACACATTCGATATAAATTCTTTTTTGCCGACACAATTTTTAAGAACATTCGTTCGATATGAATTTACTGATTCAATTGAATTTACTGATTTTTATAAAAAATTCGCCTAAATTTTCTCTTTTTTTTTCCGTCAACATTAACGATTAATTTCAATCAGATTCATTGTACAGGAATATTACTCCAGAAATTGTTGCATCTCTAATTTTTTTTTAATTATTATCGTCGATCGCGTAGAACAAATTTGTAGAACAAGACACACGTGAAAGAAAAAAGTCAGGAAACGCAAACATGTGCACAACGCAACAATGTCGAAATTATAGTTCATTCATTTATATAAATAATGTTTCTCTCTCAATTTACAGCTCAGTGTCTATTACAGCGAAAGCGTTAAATCCCTCTCCCACTTTTTTTTCTATCCTCGTAATATTCCTGGCTGCTGCGAGAGTCTCCATTTTATTGCAAACTAAGAATATATAGGAGTACATAAAGGTATCTCGTAAAATATATACTCCATAACGATATTATATATATATTTAGCATATATTAATGGGAAATAAATGTTCGACTTTTTAATTGAAAACGGCCTGCCTGTCGTGCAGGAAATACACATCTTTAACAATACATTCTACTGTCAAACGTTAACAAGTGTGGTGGCTGATGAAATTGGAAAGGGGGAGGGGGAAAGAAGGAAGATAGGTTCGATATGGCACTAAAGGATGTGGAGTGACATGCAGCAGATTAATATTATTATTATTATTATTATTATTATTTTAAATTCTTGGCGCGATTTTTTGAATATCACTTTCTGCCTCTTTTTTGCGTTTTCTTTCTTTGTTTTTTTTTTTCAATTTTTTTTCCCCTTCACATCGGATCTTAATGGAGATTAATGCGATGAGAAAGTACGATGGAACATGATCTTTACGATGTAGCCTAGCACACACAGCCAAGTAACGTGACACACGAGTCACCCTTACGCGCGGCAACGAAGTATCGAAGATTCATTTAATAGTTACTGTAACAATAGTCGTAATTAGAATTGAGGCGAGTCAATGCAATTCCTACAGTTCCCTGATTACTACGCTACACCTTTTTCTCGCGGTTTTTCTCTCTCTTTCTTTTTTCCTCTCGCTTTCTTGCGAGGGTTGTATATATTTTAATTCTCTCTCTCTCTCTCTCTTTTTCTCCTTAATAGATTCCTTTAGTATTCTCATACGAGACAGTATACACAAGAGTATACGCAGATACGTAGAATTATATATTTATTTCTCTTTCCTCTTTCATCTCGGACAGTTCGATCATGTTTTATAATTTGTTTTATAATATTTCACAAGAGATTTAAGAAACTAGCTACATGTCTATACGCCTAACTGTCCTGTGTACAGTCCTATCGACTGGCGACACGCTGCGGTCTTGGCGAGTAGAAACAAAGAAATATATCTTAAACTGTACAAAACAAAGCGTTGTATGAAAAAATAAAAGATTCTCCTAACAAGAAGGGGAAAGGGGGCGGGGAAATGCTTTTGGCGGCGATGACTGTCGGGTCTATTGCAACAGTATGTTGTCCTCTCGTTAAACAACTCGTAGGTAACATTGACTGGCCGATCAATACTGCTTTGCCACCTCGTGCGCGAATGCATCGTCGTCGTTTCTCTTGAAAAATCCTCGACGATATGATACACGCGAGTCGTTTAACCCTTTCCGTTCCCACAATCTCGCGGAGTCGCATCATTTTCGCTTGAATACCTTGACGTCTCTCTCACAAAAATTATCTCGAAAAACATTTTCCTTCGATGAATCGAATAATCGAATATGCGAATTTTTACAGAGAAATTGAAGGAAGAAGCGTTCTGTTCATGTAGCAATGATTTCGATCGAAATCGTTTCGGAAAGGGTTAAAAAGAGTCCCCCATGCGAATCAATATTCATTAAACACGTAACGACAATTTTGTTGTTAATAAAATATCCTACTATTGATGTACATTCAATATATTGCGGCACGTCAATTATCAATCTAATATTTGCGATAAGATTATCTCTCCAATATTGATCGCATACGGGACACGACTTTGCACGCGGAAATGTTGATTTCGTCGTTATATATCTTGTTATTACGTAATACGTCGAAGATAGATATATACACGTACTAACGCATATATACGCACATACTAATGTCGCTGTTAAACGACATTAGGAAAGTTTAAGTTTATTTATCGAAAGTGTTATTTTAATATAATGACAACCGTGTACATCTTCGAGCTACTGGAAAGTGCAATCTTACGCGTGATCTTGTGATCAATCTTCAGCGTCATAGTTTGTAATCATTTTACAAAGCAAATTCACTAACAATCGCACACTTTTTACACAGAAATGTATAGTAGAATCTTCTACATCTCCTTTTCTCAATCCCGAGTCTTGAAAAATATATCTATACTTAGCACTTTGTTGTTGACTGAGAAGATATTCCCGAGACTTTTTCGACATTTTTATCAGATAAGCAATCATAAAGCTCCGCTCGAAGAGAAATACTTCCTTTCGATCTACTTAAAATAACACTTTCAATGTCGCAAACTTTACGAATCATATCGATACGATCACTAAAATTTATAACAAGCGGTATACTCTTTATAAATCAATATTACACTAAAGAGAATACTTATGTTAGACTGGCTGATCGCGCTATGGCCTCTATATGTGTTTTTTCCTTTTGCGTTTCTCGTTTGATTCTTACCCGGAGTATATATCGCATGGAGATGCATTTGTCCTCCACGCGTGTGTTGTTTACGCATTCATTTAGGGGAAGAGAATTGTCCTGATCTCTCGTCGTCGAAAAACAAATACGGACGTCATCGCGCGAAATATCCGTTATCATGCTTAACGAGCATCGAGCATGTTAACTTTATTTTCGTGCGCACTGCGTGACGAAGCTGTCCTCTTTCCTCCTTCGATCTCCCCCTCGTCTTGGCCGAACTTTGCGGCATGCCGTGACAAGCGCTTTACTTTACCTGCGCAAATAAATTCTACAATTTTACATTCTATATCAACGTACATACATAATTCGTTCGTTCGTTCGTTCGACATCTTTCGCGTATTGGCGGCTGATAAATATACACTCTCTTTCTCGGCTCCATCACAGCTAGTCTTATATACGGAATTTGCTCTACTACGGAATGTTTAATATCAGAGAGAACTCTATTCCTAGTTTATAACGTGAAACTGCTACCTACAAGTTGTTTGTCAGAGGGACCTCCTCCCTTCTCCACCTCCTCCTCTCTCCTCCTCGTTTCAAATATATATTGCATCTATCTACAAACATGTACGTCATAACTTGTATCATTTGTACCAACAGGCGATGCATATCACAAAATTAGTCGCTTCATTCTGCGCTAATGAAGATACGAGGTGCCATGGGCGATTGTTTCTTTCAATTTGCTTCAACGCTATACGCGAACAAGAGTGCTAAGAGCATGGCTATTGCGAATGTACGGTAACAGTATAGTGAACGGGTTTGGAGGCGAAAATTCGTGCGAAAGTAATATAGTAATCGCTCCTAAGAGCAATCGCTTCCTAGAGACATATAATTTAAAGTGGAGAAGCAAAAGCGAGAGCGAATCGCGACGCGTAAGCGAGTTTTCGGTTCAAGAGTTTATCGTCCAATCTCGTTCACAGTTGCGTTACATCGGATGAGATATATAGTTAATCCTCATCTCTCTCTCTCTTTCTCTCTCTCTCTCTCTCATACAACTTTAACAACATGGGGATATAAAATAAAGATGCCGATCCTCAATCGATGCTTTTCATATATAATGCGACACTTGAGTCCGAGAGACGCGAATAAATATTAGAACGATTAAATAACATTGAGAATTGTGAATATGAAAGACGAATAAATAATATTAAATCTAATAGGTAACGTACATATTTGTAGCAGTGGCAATGTAAAATCGTGTATGTGTATTTGTGTGTAGAAACGAGACTAATGGCAAATTCGAATGACAAATGCTTTTTTCTTTTTCTGTTCTTTTTTCTTTTTTTTTTCTTTACACGCCTCGTCTCGTATCGCGCGACAAACTCGGCAACTTTCGCCTGTCGGCAGCCGGCCAGAGAATGTTGACAGCCGATTATAATGGAAGATTTGTAGCGCGATGAGAGAATCAGCGGTAACCAAATTAATAGCTCTAATGTGATGATTTCGAAGAGAATGACGATATAGACTTGTGTACATATTATTTTTTTATATTAATCAATATATAATGAAATATATTATGCTGCCGTTAGCATTAATAGCACGAAGGCCATCAGAACACACTAATCCATAAATTAAATTAATATCTATAAGTTACATTTATATATGCTCTCTTAAAACTTTAGAATTGATCTATCTACAGCAACCTAATTAATTATTTCATATTTCTCAGTGACTTTTCAATCTATTTGGGCAACACAGTGAAGTTTAATTGATAATAGAGTTCACATAGAATTTATGGATAAACATAAATCTGTTCTCTCCCCTTTGCGGACGCAAATATTTTGTTAACAATCTTTTATAATATCTCATCTCCACATTCTTTCATATATATAATATTTCTGCATATATATTATATATTTATATATATTTTTTTTCTTTCTTTTATATATATATATACATATATACGTCATTTTTATAATTCATTTAACGTGATTTCTCTTTTTATTAATCTTTGTATTAATCTAATGCATCGTTCTCTCTGTATAATACATACATGCGTACATACATATATACATATACCTGTATATATATATGCATGTATAAATGTGTGTATGTATATATACATATATATCTTTCTCTCTGCATAATATATTATCATTATCATTCCCGTCATGCGATATTTATAAATATACAAGTCATTGTTTAAAGAGCGGTGGGCCAGCGCCTCCATTTATGAATTGTACTCATGTACAGTTATATATTTCATTTCGATATAATCATTAGTTTAACTACACCCATTATTGATTACTACCTAGCTTATATCACCCCTTCCTATTTACCTATCCTCAAAAAAAAAGAAAGAATGATTATAAAAATTCCTACTCTCTTAGCGGATATCCTTTCCTCCGATCAAACAGCGAAAGCGCAACAGATTTGTCTGGAAACAATGTTTAAATCGATCCTATCATTCGACAAACCTGTCAATTCGCTTCCTGTGACGAAAAACGCTCCCTTTTACATTCCATACAGAACCCAAAAATATGCGATTTGGCTAAATAATCGAGATTGTCCAAAGTAATGATTAAAATGTGCAAAACAGAAGAGATTCTCGTATACGTCTATATAATCGATAAATCTCTGCTAGATCATTTTAAAATACACGAATCTGTATCGGTAAAAAGTCTCGCGCGCGGCAAGAAAAAAACAAATCGAGGAAAAAAGCTCGCACGTAAATAAAAGACTTCCGAAATGTGTCGTTTAAACGAACGAGCGTTTGTCATTTTAAGAAAGCAAACGCCAATAGATCCTACTTTCTCTCAAAAGGCACATAACAAATTCCAATATCGAGTCTGATTAAATGAGACTAAAGTAAAACGCCAGGCAAAATATTAATAGATCTTAATCGTAGTCAACTGACGATCGTCTTAAAAGAGGAAATAATTAGACTAAAAATTCTAGATAAATAATGGAACAATGGAACAATTGCACACACTTGCGCAAACTATATAATTTGAGAATATTATCTAAAATGATGTGCAAAAGGTATTATCCTAGTAAACGAGTGCTAAAGCGTAAATAGATTTGTCCATCCCTTAGAAATATCTATTAAAAAGTAATAACAAGTTTAAAGTTAATCTAGTTTTGTATATATATTACTCTAACAATATAAGAGCTACGAAAAGTTAGACGAGGTTTGTGTTCAGAGATGGAGACTTAAATGCTTTGGAATTAAGAATATAACTTGGCAATAACGAGTTATTCGTTATTTTTATTTAACTGGACCAGCCAGCGATATTGTAAATATATAAATATATGTTTATATATATATATATAGAATAGCTCTCACTTTGGATTATATATATATATATATGAATATATTAAACTTTTTCCAGATATTTTTGCGTCATGAGAAGTTTCGGAAAAAATTTTACAAAGTTTTAGAACTCAAAATTTTAAACTCTAAAGGTTTATAATTCTTTCTCCGAAACATTCTCTATATGTGTGCGCGCGTGTATATATATATATATATATATATATAAACTCTTTGCCAAGATATTACTCTGTGTACTCGATGAACGAAGTAAATAATACATTTTATAAAAAGAGCGAGATTAGTCTAAGTATTTCCCATCTCGAAAGACAATTCAGAATGTTGATCACACGAAACTCTTGTCTCAACATTCCTCCTCAGTTGACAAATCGATGATTGACCCAGATTCATTGCCGTTTCGACGTTGAGTTCTGTATGAGCTGGACCTTTTTGGATTATTATGGTGAAATATGTCCCATAAAAATCTGAGAATGCATTCGCAATATTATCCAGGCAGAAAAGTTTGTCTATCGAAAGAAGAAGCCGGATCTTTCCAAGTGTATAGTGTAGTTTGTCAGTGGTGTGTGAACAATTGTGTTTGGCTAAGGAGATGCCGTAATCGAATCTTTCCGAATCGATAACAATTACATCGTGTGGATTACCTCAACTGGTAATGCGCTATACACAATAACAACTAATTATTCGTGGCAACTCTGATGCGATACGCGCGTGTCGTGTGTGATAAAGCCCCGTAATGTGGTGTATCACAGAACAATCGTAGTAGTTATACATCTATACATACATATACATATACATACATATATATATATATATATATATATATATATATATACATACATACATATACATACATATATATATACATATATGTCATAATATAATCTTAAAAGATAGAGATAAATGTGTTGACGAGCCATGATGGATGTACGAACGTAAGTGATACGACAATGCAAGCGCTATAGTGACAACGCAGCGCGATAGATGACAACGGGCGGTAGATTGGCGATGTTAGACGAAATATATATATATGTATGTATATATATATATATATGTCAAAAGTATACAGAGGAGAGAAGAGAATCGCGCGCCGTATCCGGGCGCGTTCTACTTTCTCAGGGTGTGAAGAGGTGAACAACGGAGCTCAATAATGGGGATGAACAAGAGGAGTGCTGTACTTGAAATCAATGTATCATACTGGCGATGGCATTCTGACGTGCTCGCTTCGCCTCTTCTTCACTGATCCTCTGCTCGATCAAGTATTGAGCAGTGTTGATCGCATTGGGATAACCCGTGATAGTCACTATGCGGTTCCTGGTACCAGGGGCGAACATGCCCTTCTTAGAGATTTGTATGTTGGCGCCACTTAGGTGCTGAATCTCAATGAGGGCACGACCACCGGGTCCCAGAATAGCTCCCACTATAACCTCTGCAATTTCTATGTCTACTTTCTTGGTCTCCTTGTTGTTGGCGTCTACCTGTGTAGGACTCTTACTTACAAGTGATAACTGGTTAGTGCCCAGGCCAAACGAATTGTTGTTCAGGTGTATCGCGCTGGCGGCGGTGTTGTTCTGTCGGAACGGATCGAACGGCTCGTAACGATCGAGGGTATTGCGTGGCGTCGGCGAAGTTGATCCGAGTGCAGGCACAGTCCCGATGGGTCCGAATACACCGCCATTGTTGTTCGAGCCGTTCGCGGTCGTTGTGCTGTCCATCGGGTTGCCCAGATAGCTCATACTAGACGGCATTCCTATGCCCATCCCGAGGATATTATATTTGGCGAGAGTGGCGATCGCGGCGAGTATCTCTGTAGCAGCGGGCTCGGAGAAACCTGTCGTACGTAGATTCAGTTTTATATGTTCCAGCAGCTGCGTCGTTACTGGTGCCGTGCCCGCTGTAATGGCCGCGCCCAGATTCAAGTTAAGACTCAAACCAGCACCGTTCAAGAGACTCACTAAAATAATAAACATATAATTACCATATTTTATTAATCACAAGACGATAAAAGACGATTTCTCGTTAAACTATAAATCTACATGCACGATCCAAGGTTTGATTAAAACAAGAAAAAAAAGGAGAAAATATGAATAAAGCGCAATATTTCTTGCACGATTCTAAAGACATATAAAAGATACTTTCTTTATTTTTTTTTATTCAATACAGTGAATTTTTCCGACATCTGCAGTTATTTAATAATAAAATTTGAGCGTCTATTTGAAAGTTTGTAGCAATGTATATGTATATATATATATATATATATATATATAATTACTATATATATAATTACTATTATTACATAATGTTATATAATCACAGATGATACTAATAAAACAGCATTTCATTACATTGCAGAGAGAATGCTTTATCAGCATTATAAAACTTGTTAAATACTAACCTGTATTCAAGCCAGCTGTAGATGTATACGTGGGAGTGCTTGTGGGGGCTTGAGCATAAGGACTGCCTGTAGGATTGTAGTTGGCAACCGGACCACTTACATCCGCATAACTGACATTAAGACAGGTACCACTTTGTGGATCATCCGCTACTTTCGCTAGGATCATATGTAACGCCCTGTGATTATTTTCTTTTTCACCAATCACTGTTATACATCGCTCTTGAAGAGATAGATCTTTAGCCTTCTGACTTATTTGGACGTACGAGCCGGATTCTTCTTTAATTTGCTTAATATAATTCCCGGCTTTTCCTATTATCATCCCCGCGGTGCTATTAGGTACCAAAATTTTGACCTGAAATAGCAGTTTCGACTCATGTGTCATTACCGCATACAAAATTTGCATATGCAACAAAGAGAACAGTTATAAGCTTAATTATCAGAGACAAATCATTTTATCTGGTATAAATTTAGCAACTACATTCTTTATAAATGATTATTGTTAATATATCATGTTTTTTTATAAAGAGAATTATCAATATTATAATAATAAATTACCATTATTTTTAAAAGACAACCTGTTAAGAAGATAAATATTCTAGAATCTGTATAATTATTTTTAATTTTTATTCCAGAATCTGTATATTATATTTTTCTATAAGAAAAATATAAACTACTAACACCTACTAATAAAACAATTGTTTTGAAAAAATATCTTGTATGTAAAAGAGAAGACAGGGGTATTAAAAAAAAATTTATTTTACACATAAAATGTTTGAGTCTTATACCTGCTTGTCTCTCTCCGCTGTGGCTTTACCAGAGTCAAAGTCAACTGTAGTTTTCGAAGTAAGATCAGGCTTCTCGCGTATTTTATCCATGATAAATTCCATAACTTCCATTATAGCATCTACGGTGCCGGTGATTAGGCATACCCTCTCGGTAGTTCCTGTAAATATAAAACGATTTTCTTGATAATAAGAAGAAATAAAGAAAAGAGAGTTCGTGTATGTATACAATTTAAATATATACCAGGATAGAAATCGTGCGATTTAGACATCTTCACCCTTGCCCCTGTATCTTTTTGAAGTTGAGCAATTGTGTCTCCACCTTTTCCAATAATGGCCCCGGCCGCCACACCGGGGACCAACACTTTGAGGTGATAGGTTCCATCTCCTCCTGCGAAATCAGAATTCAAATTATCTTCTTAATCATTTTCTCTGAATAACAGTATGCAATTTAAAATTAATCTAAAAGGAAATAGGGAAGAAATTATTGAATCGTGTTTAATGATAAAATATTATGCATATATAGAATGATTAAAAAAAGATATTTTTATATTTAAAAAATGTATATTAATTTCTCTCCCTGGGTGAATTAAAGATCAGATTTTAAAAAATCTTTTTATTGATTCAAAGTGGATATATGTCTAAGGAATTATTACTTCAAAGCATTGAAAACATGGATATATTTTATGAACAAAATATTTCTTCAATGATATTTTTCTGAAAATTGAGTTAATTTCAAAAAGAATCGGCCCGATTTCTTTTTTTAACTCTTAAATGTCACATGCTGATGCAACTCGAGAAGCATCATTTTATTTCGTTGATTAAACGAGTTATGAAAAATTGTTAATAATCAAAAATCGAGATTCTCTTTGTTTTACAAAATCAATATTTTTATCTGCAATCACATACATTTTTTTAATCATGTTTCGAAAACGCACATGATTCTTTTTGTTCTTGTTTACACTCGCACACGTAATCGAACATGTTTAAAGGTGATTAAAGAAATTCCAGGAAATCTAAATCAGTCGACGAATTGGTCACGAATTATGACACATGGTCATCGGAATAAATATATGGCACGTAAATAAGAAGTCTAAAAGATAAAAAAAAATTACGTAATTAATGATTATCAATTCTTGGAAATGACAGTTTGAGATTAAATTTCTAACGCGACTATTCCTAGAGAGAGAAAACAATCGCGGTTGAATTCGTAATCAATCACGTATATTGATTGATCTATTTACAATTTTCCATCGTAAGCTTAATCATTCGACAGAATTCAGATTCCGAAAACCTCTCGTCAACGAAAATTATCAATCGAGTCAACCTATTCCCAATTACACCGGCAATCTTGATTAATTAACTTTTCGTTTGGAGATTATTCGCTCTTTCCGGGTAGTAAATCTTGATTATGTCACGAACAAAGAGAAAGAAAAATGGAATCGATCACGGTCATCGTAGCGATGACTAACCTCGGTGCAATCGAGTCAAAAGACACACACACACACACACACACGACGAGTCGAACTCGATTAAGAGCTTAAAACGAATAGAATCCACGATAACAATCTACTTGACTTTTTTTCAAGAATCACTTTGAATCCAGCAGCGTGATCGAAAAAGAGATGATCGCGCTCGAAAAAAACAACTAATGTCAATACAGATCGAATGTCACGATAGAAAGGTCAACGTGGCCGATGGAGCGCGTAGACGTATTTCGTACATCGAACCACCCTTTGGAGACAAGCCGAAATCCCAGCGCGAGATGCATCGCGAAGGGCGAGGGCGAAGGCGAAGGAGAAAACGGTAACCGAGATCGATGCGAAGAGATCGGGCCGAAAGGGACGGCGCGCAGCGGGAAGTCGGGCGCGCGAAAGGCAAACAGCTGTTTGACAGATGGAAACCCTGCGCGCTGGCTCGACTCGGCTCGGCTCCGCTCGGCTCGTCGGTCGGTTGGTTGGTTGGTTGGTTCGCTCGCTCGCTCGCTCGCTCGCTGGCCCGGCGACCTTGACCCGCAACCTCGTCTGCGCGGCGGAGAGGTGCGGCGCGGTGCGTGCGTGCGTGACAACTCACCGATGCGCCACATCCTAGAGTGGGCGCCGTCGTTCTGCGCGCGGATGGCAGCGGCGGCGCGCGTGACTACGTCGACGACGGCGACTTGTCGAGGGCGACGACGACAATGACGGCGACGATGACGACGACGGTGGCTGCGGCACCGCGACCCGGGATACGCGGTGCGGAGAGCGACTCGCGCCCGCGGCTGATGCACAAAGACGACGAGAACGTGGCGGCGCAACCGCTATTTTCACGACGTTCGCGCGACAAAGTTGCAGAGTCACCGTAGAAGCAGCCACCGCCGTGGAAGCGGTCCTCCATTAACAATGTTCCACAGGCACGACCGCCCACACGTAATCGAGGAAGACAGACAGACGGAGAGAGAAAGACAGATAGAGAGAGTGAGCGAGAGAGAGCCGGACGAGGAGAGGAAGAGGAAAACGTCAAACGCGGGTCGGAAGGTCGGTATTTAAAACACCCGCTGGCTCAGTCGTCGAACTTGACGCGGCCGCGCGCGCGACTCTGTAGATCGTGGAAGATGGGACGCGCGACAGAGACGCGAACAAAGAGAGAGAGAGAGACCGAGAGAGGAAGAGAAAAAAAGGAAAAAGAGGACGTCGAGGCGGGCGGAAGGAGAGGAGACGTGGCACGCCAGAGGATGCGCGAGACGAGGCGCGGTGCTTTGTCGCGATACATACGGCGATCGCCGGACGAAGCGATCCGTCGACGAGGCCCCCACGAAGTGGGAAACGAAAGGGAATGGCCCGGCGATCCGCGCCGTGTCAACAGAGCGCGGCGGCGGCGACGACGAGATTGTCAAAGGCGCGCGCGAAAGACGGAGCAAAAGAGAGAGAGAGAGAGATGGCGCGGGGTTGGAGGAAGAGAGGGAGGCGGAGAGCGAGCGAGACGGACGTTCCCGCGCGTATCCATGCACGTATTGCCTATTGGCGCGTGTATATCGGTGCGCGAGTATGCGTGCCCGCGAGAGAGAGAAGGCCCGGAGCTCGAAGATGGGAGCGAGCGAGCGATATCACCGACGTCGACCACCGAGTCGCGGCCGAGTCGCGACGTTGACGCGCGGCGTCGACGACGCCCCGACGGAAATACCTGATCCGTAGTGCGACCTCTTGGTCGCGCCGTTCTCCGCGTCGCAGTCGAGCGGCCGCTTTCTGGAGTCCGCAATCTCCGGGGAGGGACACGTCTCCATTCCTGAGTCGGCGGCCATCTTGGTTCGCTCGTTGCGCGCACGTAACACACACAGGCACGAGAACCAGGCGGTAACACAACACGGGAGGAGAGATATGTACACACGGAACTCGCGCCGCACACTTGTACCGATCAGGGGCGGAGGGGGAGAGGGAGGAGGAAGGCCAGAACGGCGGAGAGAGAGAGAAAGAGAGAGAGAAAGAGAGAAGAAGAGAGAGATGCGGAAAACGAGAGAAGAGGAGAAACGAGGCGAAGCGCGCGAGCAAGACGAATGATGGAACGATGGGGATGAGGTGGAGGAGGCAACAGCAGACGATGCGTCGGGAACGAGTGTCGTGTCCCGAGAAATGAGGTGCCAGGCGCGGAGTGAAGAGGCACGACGTTACCCGCTCTCGGACGTACGTACGGACGTGCGACGATGACGATGACGGCGACGATGACGGCGACGACGGAGCTTGCCGCAGACCCACTCGTCTCGTTTACCGCAGATACGCCGCGCGGGAGGGGTACGATACAACAAACTAGGTAGAGAAGGAGGAGAAGGAGGAGGAGGAGGAGGAGGAGGTAGTACCCGCGCCACGGACGTACGCGCGCACGTACGGACGGACGGACGGACGGACGAACGAACGAACCGTGCGGATGAGTGAACGAGAACAAGTGACACACGCGGGGTGCCGCGTCTCACTGGCGACTGCTCGCGGCTCCCTTGCCAACCAGCTGGTTGATACTCGGTGTGCGGACTCGCGTACACCTCTCTAGGCTCGTCGCGTCCTCGTCTAGCCTACGGCGGGATCCCTATCGCTCCGCTGCGAGCCTTTATCTCTTTCTCTCTCCTGGTGCGCGCGCACTTTATCTCTCTCTCTTTCTCTTTCTCTCTCTGTCTTCCGTTCTCTCGCCAGCCCTATCGCGCGCGAGCTCCGTTTGACAGGAGCGGATCAAGCCGAGTGCGTCGCGGGCGCCGTTCCCCGCTTTCGGGAACTTCGCCTCGCGGAGATGACACTTCCGGGAGTCCTTCAGCAAAACGCGGCGCGCGCGCGCGCGCCGTGCAACGCGGCGGGCGCGCTCGTTACGTAAGCAACTGGCGGGGCGGGGAGCGAAGGGCGCGGATGTAACCCGACGCTGCCGCTGCCGTTGCCTGTCCCCGATGCGTCGTCCTGCGCGCCCGAACGCGCGCGCTTTAGATCGAATTTGCGACCGCGGCTCGCGCGCAGTCTCCGCGCTTCGTGACGTTTGACGTTTGAGTTTTCGATTCTCGTCGCGGCGGGAAAACGCCTCCTTTCGATTTCTTTTTTTTTTTTTAGGGAAGGAGAGGGAGATGCGGGTGAGCTTCGATTTATTTCACGCACCAAATACTTGTTGAATTCTGGGAAATAAAAAGTATCTCGAGATTAAATACGTTTCTATTCTCGAGATTAAATATGTTTCTATTCTCGAGATTAAATACGTTTCTATTCTAGATCCGGGCGAATTATAACGACCGTTCTTCTCGGAACACCCAGTACTTCCGATTTTTTTTTTTAGGGAGGGAGAGGGAGGTGTGAGTGAGCTTCGATTTATTTCACGCGCCGAATATTTGTTGAATTAATTCCAGGAAATGAAAAGTATCTCCGAGATTAAATATTTATATCGTTTCTATTCTAGATCCGGGCGAATTATAACGACCGTTCTTCTTGGAACACCCAGTACAGTGGTGTTACTGGTCTTCTCGTCGTCGTCGACGACCTTTGCGCCTCCGTAAACCCGATAGCGCGATCCGCGCCGCTCGCTGCAGCCATGCATCGATGATGACGACGGATCGCGCGATAGCTCGATTTCTTATCCTTGATCTAAAAATGTATTAGAGAGAGAGAGAGAGAGAGAGAGGGAGAGAGAGAGAGAGAGAGAGAGAGAGAACAAATACACCCGGGGCGTACGAGAGATTATCCGAGCCGGGGGCAAAGTTCCTCTGCGCATTACGAGAGATGAAATCCGTGATTCCTTCGTGCTTCAATCCCTCGCCGATCGATACTCGCTCGCATTCTCGTTTTTCATACATTTTGAAAGTATAAAAAAAAAAAGCAGGTGGAGTTTGACGTAAAGTTAAACGCGCGCGTGCGTGAAAGATAAATGAAAATGACGTTCGGAAAAACTTTCGAGCTACCTTTAGCGTCGTATTTATCTCTCATTGATGCGATTTCATTCCAAGAGTATGTTAGCGCTCGCCGACGAATCTTATTTGGAAACATAAGACCGGTAACCGATACACGAACAATGTTTCTACGACGCTTGAAAAAGCGCCATAACTGTCAATTACGCATCATTGTTAGTTATTTTCCTCACGATGATTAGTCATACGATACACGTCGGCACCTGCCTGTCATGTACGATACAAGAAGCGCCCATCTGGCGATGGTTGCGATATTTACGTCTAATGCAGGAGTCATGCTTTGCGCATGACACACTGCACTCTGGATGGGCTACAAGATTGAGGCATAATAAAGCGCAGGATGGAATGTCAGATATATCGTTCAAGGTTCTGAATGCAGCATTGAAAAAAGTGGGACGGCGAGATCGGGCTCTTAATTAATCGCGCTATCAGTCATGCCACGTGTGTGCTTGTCTCGAGGAAAAAAAAAATGTCTCAATAGATTTCTGTCGAGATTGAATAAGCTAGAAATCAATCGAATAACATAGATTGTATTTGATCATGAATAAGCACAGCTTTGACGGCGTTGTCGAAACGATCGTCTCTCTCGAAAAGTAAAATGTCAAGGCGCGAATAATTTTTCGACTACGCGCAAAAAAAAAGGTTTGCATGAAATTTTGAAAAGCGATACAATGAGCAAGATATTGAATAATATCGTGGAGAGATACAATATCGGAGTAAACTTTGGATACAGTCTTGGAGTCTCTTGCAGTTCTCGACTGTAAGAATTGTTGCGTCTTTTATCTCGAGTGTTTCTATTACCAAACACCTTCTGCACGCTTTTTTATCGCCAATAATCGTAGACGGTAAAAGGAACTGGTAATAACTGACAAAAGATACGGGTGATGCAATAGTGCAGCATTACATTGAATAATAATAATAGCACATATTAGTTAACATATTAGTTATTATAGCATAGCATCTTCTGTAATTATCTTCTATTTTAATACTTATGCTATTGTAAGTCTATGATAGCTCATAATGCATCTAGTTGAATAAGAAACACACGTGATGGAAGTATTAATAATTCAAATTGCTCAATCAATTGTTTTATCCGATTCTAATCGAAGCTAAAAAAGCTAAAAAGAATGCTAAAAAATAATATAAAAATCGAAGCTAAAAAAAGTGCCAAAAAATAATATAAATTTTATTCGTATGATTCGATCTCTCCGCTAAAAAAAAATTAAAAAATATAAACAATTTTATTCGTATCATTATTCGATATTATCCGACAGTTTTCTATACTATCATTGGATTAATTTAATAAACTTACTTAACATTTTATTCAGTTAAGTACTGCTCGGCAGAGATACTTAATTAGCCCGATAACGCGGCCGATAACGATCGATCATTAAATGCAGTTGGGCTAAAGGGAAACGCTTTACGAAACGGAATGTCGTGATAATCGATCAAGGATCATTATTCGTCGAGGAGAGAAATCACCGCTAATGACTCGTTAATGAAAGAAATCTCATGGTTTTTCACATCTTTCGATTGGCTAATAAACGTGGAATTTTTTCCCGATATTGCATCACATCTCTGTCCAGCATCCGCCAAGTATGAGGGGGAACAAACAAGTATGTATATATATATACACGTATCTCCCTTTCGTCTCTCCGTCCTCTCTGTCATTCTCAACGTAATGCGATAACTATGGTCAACCGGTTTCAATGCTTGGATTTTCGATTCCGACTAAGTCAACTTCCGTCGTTCTCTTCACCTGAAAAGCGAAAGGAAATTAGACTGGAAGGAAAATTCTTCCTAGAAACTCAATGAATCACGTATGAGTGTAAACCTTCGAAAAACATTAACTTGGGCGAACAAATGCAACGTTTAATTACCTAGATACTTAACGTTAGACATTAAGAGGACATAAACGAACGATGACGTTGGATCGGATTTTCCATTAAGGAATAATCGGATGCAAATCACCGCATAGGAATGTCCCTGTAGATAAGACGGTCCCGTGCTCCCAAAATTCGCAAAATTCAACGATGCAATCGGGGGTGCAATCAATGTCCTTGCGACACGAGTCATCGAGCCAAATCCCTCGCGTGTTTTTTTTTAGACGACTCCGGGTTAGTCGGCCGTACATACACGCATATATATATATATATATATATATATATATATGTATGTGTGTATAATATTCATGCATCGCACACGCAGGCGCGACGCAACATCTGACACAAGTGCGCTTATCCCAAGGCCACGACTTTACTGCTCACTGACATATCGTTGCTCTGACAAGTCGCCGACGACTCGTGTGATCTCGCTCTCTCGCAAACGTCCTTCGCGCTCATAATTTTTTTTTTCATCATTTCTAACGCTGGATCAAACTGTCACGCTCCAAGCGCGCGCGCGCGCGTGATTCTTCCTCGTGTGTCATCAGGGCTGTATTGAGGCGTAGGGCGCTTCTATTCGGAGTGCACCGTAAAAATCGAGATGAACAATCGTCTGCCAAAACAATGATCCTATAAATAATTTTCAATCGCGATGTAACGTTTAAATTCGTACCGAGCTCGCCGGATTCGTTGCCAATTTGTCGTCGTATTGTATGTTTGGCAAGCATTTAATGCTTCCGCTGACATGATTGAATGTCGAATGCGATAGGTCCTGCGTCAATGACGTCGCTTTCCTGCCGATGGCAGGTTTCGTTTCGTCATATCCTTAGAACTGTCACATCGGAGACTCCGTCTGAGAAATAAATAATAAAAATTTTTATGTCTTCTGCTAGTGCTTGACAAATTTTTATCCACCTCTGATGTCTCGCTAGTGGGTGTAATCGCCATGATACGCATGTATAGAACACACATATATATACATGCACTCTTGCGATGTATCTACATTTCGTTGTTGAATATCAGAACACCATAAAACATGATAGGACCGGTAGGAGATAAGAGTATGATTAGTAGCAGATAAAAATATAATTACAATTTCTCTGTAATTCGCAGTGTGTTGTATAATGCATAGTTGATGAAGATTCTTGCATTCATGTGGATATACATGTGCGACCAAGTAAGGGGACTTTGTCTATGACGAAGGTTATGGGATAACCGGATAATCAGGTCGCCAAAGTTTCTCATTTCGCTAAAAGTATGGGAAACTTTATGAATGACAGCGTGATCTGGTGCGTTTCAATTCTGACTTTGTATTAAAAGTACACTCGAAACAAATTAAGTTTCTGCTTTTCATACAGATCAAGTGTTGGGCAATTAGACGAAATAATTTCATGCACATTCGTATCTATCAAATATTTTTTTATAATAAATTGTACTATATTTTCTTATAATAAATTGTACTATATTTGATACATCATAAGATAGGTACGAATTTGTCATAGATGTAAATTTTACACCGAGTGTTTTGCTATTTTGTGTAAATATATGAAGATATAATGTTGTGATTATGTTTATTACAATATAATAATAAAAAGATACATTTGGCAGCTTGCTGCTACTGCTTTCAGTCAGTATCATATTCGGAATCAGTGAGATCATCAAATCGTTGACAAATAATGGAGAAGACATTTCCAAAACATCTACGTATAGTTGGGTCATTCGATTATGTTTAAATCTATTGGGATACGCCACTATATTGCTGCCAGGTTGCCTTATATACAAATATGTACGCTATACAAAATATATTCAAAGAAGTGGTAAGTAGGCAAAAAGAATTAATATAACTTTAGATACGTGTATTGCGACAGTCATAATTTAAGAAATATTTCTACAGGAAAAGGCTGCATCCCTAGATTGGTACATTCATGTTTTATGGGGCATTGTGAAACAGGTCTCTTGGATTCACCTCCGTATGCCTCCAATGCTTCCACACATATTCAACGCACTTTTACTCAAGATGCCCTACTTCTGATGTACTGTTTTTTTGGGCTGCAAATCAGTTATTTAACATGGGGTTACTTACAGGAAAAAATTATGACACAGGTATGTTCAGAATATAAATGTATCAACATTTGCAAAATATTACAAATATCTATCATAAAATGTTATTTTATTATTGAAAAATTATTACTGCAATTAACATTTTCTTGATTTTGCTTTTGTATGTGTTATAATTCTCTATTGAAACAATCAATTTATTTGTACAGGAATATGAAGATGCTTCTGGTAATAAAACACGATTTCAAGATTCACAATTCTTGGTATTTGTAAATCGTATTCTTGCCTTTGCAATGTCAGGATTATACTTACTTATTCAACGTCAGCCACAACATAAGACGCCATTGTATAAATATGCGTTTTGTTCTCTATCAAATATCATGAGCAGTTGGTGTCAATATGAAGCTCTGAAGTATGTTAGTTTTCCATCACAGGTAAAGAATTAGGATTGTAATTTTACATATGATTTTTCTCCAGTTATTGATTTTATTTTCTTTAAATTATGAAAAATTATGAAAACTCACATGTCTACTTTATATGTGTAACATTCCTTTTCTAGGTTTTGGTTAAAGCCTCGAAAATTATTCCTGTTATGATAATGGGAAAAATAATTTCGCATACAACATATGAATATTACGAGTATGTTACCGCGATTCTTATTTCCATTGGAATGACTCTTTTTATGTTGGACAGTTCTGATCATAAAAATGGTAATATACCTGAGTACTTCAGAATACAATGTATATTTCTCATAAGATGTGGTCAAACATGACAGACTTACAAATACTTTCAGATGGAGCTACAACACTCTCTGGTGTTATATTATTAGGAGGCTATTTATTATTAGATAGTTTTACGAGTACCTGGCAAAATGCAATTTTTATAGACTATGGTGTAACAAGCATACAAATGATGTGCGCAGTTAATATGTTTTCCTGTCTGCTGACTGCAATGTCTCTGTTTCAGCAATCGAGCTTTCCGCTAATATTTTCGTTCATGACAAAGGTAACCAATTTTGTAACAACTGCACATTAGTTTTTTTATCATTTTACATTGCATAGAGCATAATACTAATGATGTCTTATCGTATAGTACCCTAGATTTGTAATCGATTGTTTGCTGATATCAATTTGTTCAGCAAGCGGCCAGTTGTACATCTTTTACACTATTTCGAAATTTGGATCAATTACATTCGTCATTATGATGACTATTCGTCAGGTATACGCTTATAGAATATTATGTTTTATTATCAAGATGTAAAAAAAGGATACATTATATATAAACAATGTCTGTTGCAGGGTTTGGCAATATTATTGTCTTGCTTGATTTATCATCACGAAATTACTATTATTGGAGTATTTGGTATACTGTTGGTATTTGGCTCGGTATTTTTACGAATTTATTGCAACAATCGATTACGCGCAATCAGAAGACGGAGAGCCGCGGCAAATAGTATAAAGCATTAAGAGTTGTATTACTTAGACAGAGAATTGCAATTGTAATTGTCATAGAAGTAGAATTCTATCAATTGTTTATTGTAATAGTCGTAAATTAGGATAGAATTCTGTCATTGTAATTAAACATATATTCAGATTGTCACTCTAAGTATTAAGTTAAGAATTTTATCCTGTGTTTGTAATCAATTTTGAAGTCATAATCTCTATACTATGTACCGCGAGTATATATTCTCGATAGTTTTGATAGCTTTTAATCATATGAACTTTGAGAAATATATTTATCATGAGATTTGTAATTATGTACATTGCATATAAATATATGTAATGTATTTTGAAAAACAAGTACTTGGAGGTATGTGATCTGAAAGAATGTCGGCATTATATAATATATATAATAAGTGCTATGCCATTATATTATTTATTTAAAAAATATTTATTTTGATATAAATACATATACAAACAAATATGTGTGTACAGCAAACTTTTCTTCCACTACAAACAATTATATTTAATAAGAATAGACATAGCACTGAGGTTACACAAATTCTTTTTCTTTTTTTTTTTATAGAATTTATATACATATGTATACATTTCTATCCATTTAAACATAAGATATATAAATGGCAGTGTTTATATTGTTAGTATTAATTATAGAAATCCTAACATTTTTTCAACATAAAACATATAATCTTTTCTAGTTTTATTCTCACATATCATTTTTAAATAAAGTGGCTACTGAATGTATAATTTGAATTTCTTTTAAGATTATCATATTGCACAAAATTTAGATTCCAAACTGTTCTAATTCTCAGTCTATGGAATGTAGATTAGTGTATGTACAAGGCACACTATCCAAATGTATAAAATGTATATTGTTTGTAAAACTTTAAATCTTTGCATTTTATATGTAAGCATATATCTCGAGGAAGATACAAAAGTAGATTTTTAACTCTTTCCTATAGTAGCCAGTCTTTATTTTTAATATTTAAAATAGTAAGAGATATTTGCGAAACACCAATACACACTACATTTCATTGTATCCATGCGTAATATATTACGCAGAATGCAAGATTATACCAGATCTAAAGAAAATATGCGATAGATTTGTTTCTTAAATGTAGAAATAACAATAATTAAAATTATTATTAAGAATGAAAAGTCTTACTATCTGACAAAAGCAATGGCAGATAGCTCGGCTTCGTTTATGACAAATTGTTAACACTCGGAATGAATTGTTAAACGAAGTGACAAGTGCAAAATAGGATCATCGTGCGACTAGAATAGATTATCGAAAAGCTACATCATTTTTCTGGGGGCGGTGGTCGATAAAAGGCTATAAGGCACATAATAGCGATGACTAATTCGGACGCCAACAGAACTAACTGTATGCTACAGAGAATCACCTCCAGTCTGAGCACGTAGTACTGCCAGAGGAGCAAGTAGAGCGTCGCTAACGAACTAGGAATTGTCAGGATTATTCCGATAAGAATCGGTAATCCACGCTCGGTCAGATTCCCCTTTCTGCCCAGGTAGATCCTGCCGCCTTCCGTTGCTAGGAGGAAGAGCAACAGCGCAAACTCCATCAGGGCCTTGCTCGTGCTTGGCGAGGGCAAGTTCGCGGCCTTGAACAGTCCCATGCCCAACTCGCAGACGGCGAACATACCGAAGTAGAAGGAGTTCAGGTACATGAGAATCTCGTAGGTGAGCGACGAGTTCGCTACAGTGGGCATTATTCCAGGTCTTTCAGGTTGCCCTTTACTCGCCGAGACCGTTCGATCGTTGCGCCTACCAGTCTCGGAATCCGATCCACTCGGTCGTTTTCGACAGGCGCATTTTACTTGTATCCTTCTTCAGCATCGCCTCATCCCGCGTTTCTTAATATATCTCCACTAGCTGAATCACGAAAATAATGTCAATCGTGGAGAAATCTCGCGTTTCCACGCTCACGCTTGTGCGTGTGTTTATTTTTAACACACTGTACGAGAACTCGAATGGGTTTCGAACCACCTCGCGACATTGCCATTATTGAGCGAAAATAGAATTTTTATTTTGCTTACTTTGACCGATTTCAATTAAATTTTTAGAACTCATTTTTTTCCTCGAAATAAGAATGCATTCCGCTTGACCTTACAGATACTTCGAAATCTTTGGTCATGCGATTGAATGATTTGAAGCATATGTAATGAAAAGCGAACCGTTTGATCACGTGGCAAGTGGCCACTCATATTGGCCGACATCTAGAGTAACTAGAAAAGATTGACCAATCAGAATAAAAGGAGCAAAATTTTCTTTGTCCTGATTGGTCAATCATTGGTCATCAAATATCTACTCTATTGTCTATCTCATGATTTCATCGATTGTGTAACATTTTCTTTAAAGAATAAAATTATTGATCGTATATAATAAAGATAACAAAATAATTAAAAGTAGCAAGATTTTAAGTCTAAAATGAATAACATTCTTTATGAATTTATAATATTTTTTATATTCAGTGCTTTCCAAGAATGGACTTGCTCTTTGGAAAATAAATATTACATGCAATCAATGTTCTAGAGAAATACATCTCAAAAATGGCCATAAAAATTTGTTTTTATGATAAATTATTATTTATTAATATATTAAATAAAAAAAAATAAAATTATAGAATATCAAAATTAGAAAATAAAAGACAAAATAATATAATAAATATTAAATAATAAATATTAAATAAAAAAATATTTATTATAATGATTTAATTCGTATTAATTCTCAAGCTAAAAATTTGTTTACTCTTTTTTTTTATACATCTTACCGAACAAAATAATAAATTTTTTATACAAACCGATAAGATTGATTGATTTAACATTTTTTCATTTTGATGGTCAATTTAAATTTCTATCGATCGATCTTAAATATTACAGATTTCGAGTATCGTTAAATATGAATTTCCCGCGCAAGGCGCAAGTAAATTAGTGTCGCCACTTGAAGCGCAGGCGCAATCCCGACCAAGAGGCGGGAAGAAACGAAACGCGGCGCACTTCACGTCGCGGAACGACTTGCCGGCGAAATGTCTTTCGCGCGATTCAACTAAGGTCCCTTATTTCGGGACATGTTCACCTCGCGACATGAACACTAGATCCAGGGAACCGTCGCGAACATCCGCGAGGAAGCGAAGTCGTCGCGCTCCGAGTAACCGAGAGGCCTTGTGTACGATGTTTACGAGTCACGCCGATGTCACCGCGCCCGAATTTCGCGAGACTCCTCGCGTCCTTGCGCTATCGCGCGGATTTCGCGCGCAGGAAGTGGCAGTGGAGCCGCCGGAGATGCTTCCACCTGGCGTTGACGCGTCCCTGTAACAGTAGTTTCGACGACTCCTGGACCGATCGCAGCCTCGTCTCCGCGAGCGCCGCGCTGTCGCGCAATCCGCGCGTTCGAATTCGCGAGCTGCAAGCGATCGGACTTGTCGACGACGAGGAGGAAGAGGAATGGATGCACAGAGGCTTCCTGGAGGACGCGCGGGAGACGGTTTTAATATTGGCGAGAATTGTGATCGTAAGTTCGGTCGTCACCACCATGATCGCCGCGTATCTGATAACGCGTCTGACGCACGCGAGGCTGTTCCCTGGCGCTTTGCGAGCAGGTGAGCGAGAGATCATGTTTACAAAGTATTATTTGCACCTGCGTTATTGCAAAGAGATTGAGAGAAACGAAAAAACAATGTGTAACATCCCAAATTATGACCCAGCAAACACCAAGTAACATTTATATAATTGTTAGTTGTAATTTCCCACTCAGTAATATAACTGTAACATGTTATGTAACTGTTATATAACATGTTACAGTTATATTGTTGAGTGGGAAATTATAACTAACAATTATATAACTGTTATTTGGTGTTTGCTGGGGAGAATATGACGTTAATACATCTGTCAAGATTTCTAATAACATTGCAATATTTTTTTTTTTAGAATCTACATTTTTGCTCAGAAGTAAGAGGAATTAAAACATCACTGGAGTGCACATCTTTGCAGAAATCATTTATAGTTTTTTTTTTTAGGTGTAGAGTTTCTGGGACCGATTTTCATCAAGTTCGGCCAGTGGATATCAACGCGAAGAGACATCTTCTCTCCAGAGATCTGCGACACGCTCTCGAGATTGCAACGAAACGCGATGCCGCACTCTTGGCCGTACACGGAACGCCTGCTCGAAGCAACATACGGTTCTTCCTGGCGGGACTTGTTTGCGAAGTTCGATGACGAGGGATTGATTGGCTCGGGATGCTGCGCTCAGGTATGCGGATGAGATCCAATAGAATAAATTAGCGGCTATCGATGAATCGGATGTGTACTTGTACGATAATATTCGAGATACTCGAATGTACTGTTTTTACATTAGAATTTTGGTTGTGTTGGCAAAGTCGATTTACAGGTGTACAAAGCGTGGATCGATTTGAATGCAGTAGCACGGAAGCCTCGGATGTCGCGTTTCACGGAAAGTAAGCGAGAAAGAGAGCGTTTTCTTTTCTCATGTGCGTGAGAGAAATTACGCGAGCCACTTTGCTTACGCAAGATCGCCTTCACTATCATCCGCTATGCGATGAAACATTTACTTAAGGATATATTTGCATAGTTCCATATGTAGAATTAAAATATTAATTAAGATAGTTTTCATAATTTATTTTGACATAAGAAACATACATGAAATCTCGTAAAATCTTGTAATAGTTAAAACTTTAAAGTATTTGCTAAATTCTATAAAAATAATGAATAGATTGAATAGTTCTTTATCAAAATTTTTAATTTTAACAGTTTTCTCTTCTAAAATTTGACGACTAAAAATTACGGGAAGTTATTATTCTATTTGTTGCGTTAAAAAAATTATGTTATTGTAGAAATAAGATATTGCTTTTCTCGCCAATATTAACGTTTTTATTTGGTATGCAAATTTCGATGGCCAATTCGTCAACTATACATGACAGTCTGACATATCGATAATTTCAGACAAAGCATTCAATGAAAACGATGAACCCATGTCTACGAGTCCACGTGCCAGGAAATTACAAGCCGTAGCGGTAAAAGTGTTGCATCCCGGAATTAAAGGCCAACTCAAGTACCCTCTTTGAGATATCGTGTAGATAACTTTCAATAGTCTTCCTCGACAAAACGTGCAATCACGCCGGCGATAAGAGTCCGCACGATGGACTGAAATTTATACTTTTGTTGCAGTTGTATTAAACGTGCATTTAGCACGTTTATAACAAAATTTAACGTTGATTTGTTCTTGATAAAAATATTAAGATTACATAAATAATTATATAACAAAGTCTCGAGTCAAAATTTTTGAAAATAAATGCTACTTGAAATTTTAATTGAAAAATTTAGTTTCACACGCTTTTATTAGTTTTTATTTCTAATTACTAAACGTCCAAAGATTGCTGGCGTATCTGGATATTTTTTTTTATCGAGAACACAAATCGATGTATAGAATTAGCCGAATTATGAAGCTTTGCGAAACATCGCGGCAACTCGTTATTGTTTATTTATGTACAAGACACCCCGTATATATTTCCCATTTGCTTCAGAAGAGACATCGCGATAATGCGCGGCCTGTCCAAGTGCGCCATGTACTTCGTACCGGAACTGCATTGGCTCAGTCTCACGGATTGCATCGACGAATTCGCGCGCATAATGGAAGACCAAGTAACTTTGCAACATGAATATTTCCCACGACTCTTGCACATCCTTCGCATAATCTACGGAATATCTCGTTATAACGAACTCTCTGTCGAGAATACATTCGAATTTCTCTTGGAGGATTGAGAGTCGGTGTAATTTCAACGAGCTCGATGAGAATAATCGTTTTATTCGCGAAATGATATGAGAAGGAATTGAAACTGCTAGCTCGTTGAGATTCTGCCGGTTTATACCTCCGAGAAGAATAGTCAAAGTTTAGAAATAAGCGAAAAGATTAAGCGCGTTTATGTTTAATTAAGTCGTATCAATTGTTTGCGAAGGTAGACATGCGACTGGAGGCTACCAATCTTGCGAGATTTTCAGCCAACTTCTCAAGGAGGAACGATATCGTATTTCCATATCCTTACATGCACTTGACTCGTCGTAGGATACTCGTGGAGAGTTTCCACGAGGGCTCACCGATATCCGATTATCTCCAACATGATGACGTTGCTTTGCAGAAGAAACTCGCCAGAATAGGAATCGCGACGATCCTTAAAATGGTTAATATACCTAACTCCAAAGTAAACGCTTTTATCATTAGTACAAGTTGATCTTCCTTCTCAGAAATATTTAAAGTTTTATCGAATTGAATCTAATAATCAAACGTCGATTTTTAGATAAGGATGTAAATTGTATGGGAAGTATTTTTTCGAGAAAATTGTTAGTCTGTTAAATTTTTTTCCAAGAATTCAATGTACGAGAGAGAAAATGCCGTATCTGATCGTAGATATTTAATGACAACTTCATCCATTGCGACCTGCATCCAGGCAACATTCTAGTCGAAAAAGCGGTTGTACCGAAGGTGGGCCTGTTCAACACGTTTCGACGGATCATTGACCCCGATTACGTAGACGGCCCACGCCTGATCATATTGGATTGCGGTCTAGTGGTATCGTTGAATGATCGCTGCCGACGAAATCTCCGGGATGTTTTTTACTCGGTGCTAATGGGAAACGTAAGTCCGAGAGATAACACATTCACTTTTCATTGACACGCACTTCTTGCCTTCTCGGCCTCTCTCGTTAGTCGATATTAATGGGATGTGTAAACCGAAATTTATCATTTTTCTTCGTCTTTTTTTTATTCTTCCTTCTCTTTTTTCTCTCACTTTACAACAAAATTTTGTAATGTCTTAATTTATGTCTTAATTTATCTTTCGACAAAAACATGACACTGTCTCGATTTTTTACCTTTTTATAATTTATCTTATACGAAATATTACATATCGTATTATTGTTTTTCATCGCGCATATTCTTCTTAATCAAACGATTAAAGTTTTATGTATAAAATACGTAGGGCGAAATGGCTGCGCAGTATATCTTGGAACATAGTTCGCATATGACTCCCGACCCGGATGGCTTCAGACTTTCGATGAAGAATATCGTGAAATTTCACCTTCGAAATCCATTTAACGTTAGTAATCTTTCCTTTCCCGAATCGAAATTTTATTCTTCGTTCGAAAACGATGAATTTTAAAGGATTTTGAGAAACAAAAGTTTTCCATTTATTATTAGATCTTTCGGCAAAGCTATAGATTAAATACAGAGCGATTTGACTGCTTAAAGTACCACAGTAAATGTTAGATTAAAAACTAAAAAAAAATGGAAGAAAAATTTCAATTCGGATTGAAAAATATTTAAAAATCACTGAAACAACATCTTGCTTCACAATTTTTATTTATGGCTCGATTATTAATTATCCGAAATGATTATTAATTTTTGCGGACCCTCCTTCACGTCAATCTTCATTGCTTTTAGGACTCGATCTTTCGTTTCTTTCTTTTTTGCATAAGTAAAAATAATTGTGCGCACAGACACTGTAGAAAGTACCGGTGCCGTTTCAGTTTCACGATGCGACGAATAATAATGAGATCGTGATTATATAGCGGGAGTATCGATATATGCGATCTCGTGCGGATTCAATCAGAACCGATCGACCTCCAAGAAACGTACCACGTGGACGAAAAGAAAACAACGATACATAGTCGTGCTACGCAATTACGAGGCGTATCGCGTATTAACACGCGTGAGGGTAGACTAACCAGTTTTTGATACCGGTATCATCATAACGATAATGGATAATTACGATCATTATGATTCTAAAGATAGCATTCTTATAGCAAAAAGAAAATCATCTGCCGGATGACGATGGACGTTTGATTCGCTTAATTTTCGAAAATCGTGCGTGTCAAATAATTATTATACACATATATATGACTGTTTCGAATATCTTCGCAGGTGAACGTAAGTACCGTTGTGTCGGAATTATTCTCCGCGATGGTTCGTCATCGAGTCAAGCAGGACGGATCCTTCAGCAGCGTGATTCTCAGCATGCTGGTGATCGAAGGTCTCGGTCGATGTTTGGATCCAAACATTGATATTTTCGCGGAGATCCTGCCCTTCGTCCTCGGTAGCATGTATAACGATTCTAAATAATTTTTAAATGATTTTAAGTAAAAAAATCAACGTTTCCAAAGATTTTGCGTTATGTATTGTAATCATAAATTTTGTCGCACATTGCATCTTTGTGTTATTATGTAATCGAACACACACAAAGAATACAATTTTGAAGATTTTTTTCAAGGAAACTTGAACGAATTTTAAATTTAATAATGCTATATGAAATGATTTATGAGGAGAGATAGAAAGAAAAAGGATTTCCGTCTGTTTCTTTTTAACGATCCATCATGCCACGTAATCACGTATGACAGAATTCCGGCCAGAGTGATCAGTTGTCCGTAATCTCTTCCTGGTTGGTCGACCAGACCCCTTCGACGCGATCGCACACACATGCGTATACACGCACGATACCTATTCCCATCGTCTTCGTATGCAGGAATTATAGAGTTATCGATGAATGGAAGTTGGACTATTAATAAGTTGAAGTTTCATTTATTTTTTTACAAAAATCATAAGTGATTTATCGAGATGTTATGTGATAATTTTAATTAAAGAACTGTTAAAAGATGCTTGAAGTATTGTTGACCTGATGATGACGTTCATTCAAAACATCGATATTGTACGAATTATCAATAATTTATTCAAGTATAATTAATGAAATGGATAAAAAAATACATCTTTTTAAATATGAGATTTATGATTAGATCTTATCTTTTATTTTGGATTTTTTTTTTCATTTTGTACTTCATTTTATACTTCATTTTTTATTCATTTATTCTTCATTTTTCGTTATATTTTAGACTTAATTTTTTATTCATTTATTCTTCACCGTTTTACATTCTCATTCTTTATTCATGTCGAAGAGGCAATATCTTCATTAAATTGTGCGTAGTTTTACGAAATCACATTTATCACTTTTGAAATCTTGATTCTTGCTGAATCTTTTTTAAGGTAGAAAGTGTATAAAAATATATCTTCTGGATATATTTAGAATTCTATTTATTTTTTTATGTAAGAATTAAATAGAATGATTGTATTTCTTCTCTCTTTCTCCCGATAATTCGAAAATAGAAACGTGACGATTAAAATTCTAAGCAAATCGGCGACGAGAGAAATCAAACTTCATTTGTTAATAAATTAAAAGATTGAGTAAAGGTTAAATTTTTAGATTTAATTTGATTAGAACAATCATCTTTAAGATTGACGAATCCTTTTTAGTCTAATATTTAATATAATCAATTCTATATTTGATAAATCAATTTCATGTTCTTTCTATTATAAAAAAAAATTACAAAAAAAAATAGATTTACTTTTACTATATAAATTTAATTTAAAATGAATCAATAATTGGACGTCAGTTGAGAGCTAATTTGGAGAACCAGTTTTTTGGCGACATTCGATATTTTCCTTTTATTTTTATCTCAAACTTCAATCTAACATTTTTTTATATCTTAAGCAGTTGGATCATTCTCTTTTGAAACTATTTAATTTAAAAATTTACCGTAAACTCTTCTTTTAAATCTTCGTGTGAGAAATTGTTTTTTAATGCAAAATATAGAAACTCAATTTCTTATATGAATTAAATCGAAATCTTCTGGAATTTATAAACGTAAAGATTAACGAACAAATAAAGAAATAAAATTTCTATTCGGGCGGTCTTTTTTAGACACAAACATCACGTTTTAATAAAATACGACAAGAAAATATTCAATCAATATATCTTTAGAAGAAATTCATGGACATCTTTCTCCGAAGTATAAACGATATTTTTTGATAATTTAAAACATCGACAAACTCATGTCTTTGATAGAATAGCGAATGTCTTGCAAGATATTCAAATGCGAATATTTCCTCACTTCTCGTAGGAGAAAACTTTGTTGTACCATGACTGTTTTGGGAACTTCGAAATCGTGAATTCCGAAGTCACGTTCTCACTTCACGTGAGACACGCACGCCGACTCGATGTCGTGGTTTATTTATGCGTGAGATTATTTCGCGCCGTAGGAACAGATGTTTGCGCGTATACAGGGTGTGCTGGACCTACCGGGTGTTCTTTCTTCCGCCAATAACGGGACGGATTAAGAAAAACGATAATCCTTCAGAGAACTACTTTAAATACTCTTACAAAATTAAACTACTTTATATTAATTTATTTGCAAGTTATCAATTTTATTATTTTTTTATTTTACATTGTAATATTTAGCTTAGTCTTTATCACCATTATCACTTTATATACCGCCATTATATGCATGAGATGCGCCCTTCTTCCAATAGCTTCCTTAATTGTGCAAACTAACGGTACGACTCATAAATTAGCATCTACGTTAAGGAGAATTTGCGCGTTTTAATTCCAACGTATGCTTCGAAACTGACTTCGCATATCGTCAGTTTTAAAGAAAGATTTACAGAGTAATATGTAGTAGATGATTTAAAAAATAATACCAACGGGACAAGTTTAATTAAATACGCAATTGCAAAATTGTCTCAGTCGGTTGGATCGAATTGCCATTTAAAAAGGAGGTCGCGCTAGATCGTAAAGATCGATTGTATCACTTATTAATAACACGAGACATTTTACGTCCTGCGACGCATTTTTGAATCTAGTTATGGAAACTTAGCTCCGGCCAGACATACGCAATCGAAGAAACACGATCGACTCGTTCCACGCGCGGAGATTAACCTAATCATGCTCGCTTAGCATTAATATTAAGAACTCGTGGACGTCCACCTTGGATGCCGAACAAGTCTAAAAAACAAAATTTCATCTCATTCGATTCATGTAGACGCCTGTCCAAAATAAATCTAACCGTGTGCCATCAGCTACAAAATTAATTCAACGTTCAAAATGCATTCACTAATAAATTAAATATATAATTATTGATCGAATATCAATTCGTTTAGTGAACCGAGTGTTTCGCACAAAAATTCGGAAGAAATAATTGATAACAAATATTATTTGAATTTATTCTCGAAAATATCTCTTTTTTAGAAACTCTGAGAAGCAATCGAGAGAGCTGAAGTGCGTTGGATCTTCATATCCAGCGACTCTATGGCGTTTCGTGTGTGTTTCACATACACTTCCTCGTACCATATCGTACCTCCCGGTCTATGCCGTTTCGACGCCCGCGACCGTTTTCGTTTTATTTCATGTTGGAATCGAAACGAGTTCCGATCGACATCTCATTCCATGTGTTCACGCCCCCTACGCGATAGAGCTACATCATTTCCCCCTGACCCGGTCTAGCCCGTTCTAGGCAGTCGTCCGTTCCACTATGGCCGTCTTACACTATTATGAACCGATGGATATTTTAACCCTCGAGCCGAAAGGCCTTCTTTTAGACCGTCTTTTAGTCGCTCCGTTCTATAACCTTCTGACGAAAAATAGAAACGATTAACTTTTCCCAACGAAAACATTCTGGCCTCCGCAGAAACGAAAGGGAATCGGCCGAAAATGACCGGTTTTAGCATACATATGTGTGAAACAGGCTTCTCACCATCCCGGTATTTTTATCCTGTTGGAAGTTAATTACATTATGAATACTAATTTGCTGATTATAAAATTCATTTTGAGGCTCCTCGAAAAATGCGCGACTCTAGACGGCTATCTTTTACACATATCATGAAAATCTACCGTTACAATCTTTTTTTTCTTTTAAAATTATATATACTGTGGATTCATCTACTTTTTCAATTTTTATCAATCATTGTCAGGTTTTTTTTTTTTTATTTTCTTTGAGATCACGTCATTTCGCTGGTGCATTTTTATTTTCTGTCTGACGTAAAAGATGAGTTTATTTAAATTTCTCGCCGATCCTCCTAAATTCTTCTTGATTTCTCTCCTCCATCTCTCGCTTGCTTAACTTCTCTTGTCGAGTTGTTTACGCCCTTCGCGCAGACGACTCAACCCGATCCGGTTGACGGTCGTTACGCATGATCGCGCAAATTTACCGCGAGACGACGAGATCGATTTGGACGCGCAAATTAGATGCCGTCTCGCGCAACCGTAACTTCTCACTGGAGCAACACAGTCTGCAAAGACTCTGCAAGACTTTCAACATGACGAACTACTGTTTCTCATACTCTTCTCGCAGGACAATTAATATTCGTTTTATAATAAAAAAATCATTCAAGAATTATCTATAGATTTATAAATATCTTTCGTAAAAAGAAGACGATATCTGCATCAAATTAAAATTATTTATTATTTATAATATTATTTAAATTATTTATTATTTAAATTATTTATTATTATTTATTATTTATTATTTAAATGAAATGGAATAGACTCGATGTGTACATAAAAATATGAAATTTAAAGAGAAAATCAAAAAGCTGGTCTGGATCACAGACATATATATTTCGATAAATTTTTTGCTAGAAGCCAGTTTATTTTTTGGGTCTCTATTGTGTAAAGATTTGTGATTATTTCTTAGAGAAGATGCGTCGCGTGTGTAAAGCTCATTGATGTGTAAAATGTCCAAGAATGTTACAGCCGAAATAAAAAAAAAACGTGGACAAGAGTTTTAGAATACGTGAGAAGCGTGAGAATTCTTTTCGTCGTTTAGGGTCTTGGTGGACCTAGACCTGTTTCTGTGAACCTAGACTTGTTTGCTATTACATTATCTCATTATTCATGAATTCTACGATTTATCTAATCATTCTATTCTCGTACATTTGATTACATTTAAAGGTCATTAGCGCGATAACTTCTCGATCCAAGAGGAAATGAACTTTTTCCTTGCCCTTTGACTTCGGGGCAGAAAAATATATCGCAAGCTGAACTCTCGAAATCCTTCCTGTACAATAGGAGAAAGCGGGAAGAATAAAGATACAAAGGCAAGAAAATTTGAATAAAAGGGTGCTTTCGAAGGAAGACGGAAGAAATGACGGAAGTTTAAAGGCGCATTCGTGGTGACCCGATGGCTATTTTTGTCCGAGAAAAAGGAGAGAAGGCGGAGAACACGCAGAGGTAAAGGATATGGTTACGACATCCCGTAGCGGCGGATGCTGAGAATCATCTCCCCGATCGAGAGTATCTTCCTCGACGTTCAACGCCATCTGCCATCCGTTCCGGACCGTCCGTCATCCGGAACCCCCACCGTGGGTTCCCACTGATCCCACGGGCCCCACCATCGGCGACGGCCAACCATGCTCGCGATGCGGTCGCGGGATCAACGGGCAGGGCATGATGGGGCATGTAAACAGAGAGGACGAGGAGATAAAAGAGTTTTCGTCTCCGACGACGGAGACGGATCGGCGGGGCCTCAACCAGTGTCTCGTGACTCGTTTGAAAAGAGAAAGAGAGGAGAAGAAGAGGGAAGAGAGGAACAAGACCCCCATCTCCTTTCTAGTTTCTTGGCCCCTTTTGAGAGATGCCATTCATAAATCCGATCGACCTGCCAGACAATGCGCTAATTAATCGTGATTAAGTTTCATTCCCTAGACGCGCACATGTCCTTTCTCCCTTTCCCTCTTCTCAGCCGCTCTTCTTGCTCTTCCTCCTTCATCTCGCAACGCTCTTCTCACTCCCACGTCCGGGTCGCGGGCTTGTTCCTCTCTCCCTCCCAACCGCGTCCCACCGGGAGCCCTCTCCGTTCGTGATCCTCGACGAGGCCTTCTCTCTTCCTTCTTCTTCAGTCTCTCATCTCCTTCTCCTTCGTCCGCTCTTCCTCCACCTCCGTTTCTCTACTGCCACCTCCTCCATCGTTGTTCCAGACCTCTTCCTCCTCCGCCCCTGTCACGCTTTCGGAGTTTTTGGAAAACATCGAGGAAGGGTTCCCGAGGAACTTTTTGGGATCAGTACCGCCGTGACTGTCCGACGAGTCGGTTTATACATTTCAACGTCCTCGTCGACGCAGTCCGCCACTTCTCGTTCTCGGGGCTCCTGAATTTCCCGCCCGTCCATCGAAAAGCCGCCGGAAATCCGGTATCACACGTTTTATCACAGAGTCGGCGGCTGAGTCGACTTTGACGACGACAACGACGGCGGCAATGATAACCCGCTTTAAGCCTGTAAGTTACTTGCGAGATATATATTTTATTATTTTGATTTTCTATCAAGATTTTCGGGGACAGATGCAAACGAGGGGAGCGCTTCTTTTTCGAAATTCTCATCATTAATTAATTATTTATTATTCGACAAATATTTAAAAAGGCGTTTAATTCCAGAAGCTTTTCGTTATGTCTACTGTACACGTGTTTATGTTTATAAGTTTATTAGTAATTTTTTTCTCTAATGCAAATGTAAAATTATTTATCGCATTTATCGTTCATATTTTGCCAAGTATGAACGTTTAGAAGATTTATTAATTTTTTTATGTGAAGTATTTTGCAATTAAATTATTATTTTATTATTCAGCGAGCGAGAAAACAAATATGAAATTTATATAATATTATAAATATTTTGATATATAAATTCAAATGAAAATTGCAATTAATTAAAGTGTAATATTTTATAGGATTAAAGTACTGGAATGTTCATGCAAATATAATATCAAAAATTGATAATATAAAGATTGACGATTTAAATCAACAGATTAATTTTTATCAATTTTTTATCAATATTTTATTAATTTTTATCTATTTATTAACTTTTCAAACTCATATCGTTTCAATTTATACGAATTTTATTCAAATTTTATTCAATGCAATTATATCAAATTTTATTCACTCCAATTATATCAACAATTTATTAAATAAACATGATAGAGTAGTAGCTATTTACTATTTTCTAGCGTACAAACTAGAATTTATCTATAACGAAGATAAAAAGAGAGAGAATAATAAACAAAAATGTAAAAAATGTTACATAAATGTTATATGTTATAAATATTAGAGGACATAAAGATCTGTTTTGATAAATAGGATAATTAGATAATTTCCGTGGAGAATTTTAGAAAAAGAGTAAAGGAGAAGACGCGAAGAGAGATCGATGGATCGATCGATCGATCGATCGAACACATTCCTGCCCCGGCAGTCCCGTTTTTTACGGGACACCCTATAAGATGAATACGGCCCGTACGCGTCCGCTCGCGATCGTTTGTTTTTACAATCCCGGGGAACCCGATCGTCGTCATCGCACACTGCCCACCTGTGTGGCACGCGAGAGAGGCGTTCGGATTTCCGGGTTCCCGCGGCGCGAGAGCGGCCCCTCGTCCTCGCCCTCGCCCTCGCGCGCGCCGATCGCTCGCCGATCGCCGATCGCGCGAGCGAGCAAGAGTCAAGTGTGTACCCAGAGCCAGAGAGTGAGAAGAATTCGGCGCGGATAAGTCGTCGTTTGGCGAGAGACGCCAGAGCGGGATATGCGCGCGATTTGCTGATCGATACATGAACGGTGCGAGAGGCGCCGAAGTAGGAACGTCCAAGTAATACAGTCATGGTAATTTAAAAAAAAAAATACCCCCTCGCGGATATTGTGTGCGCGAATTGTGTGCGAAATCCCGTTGTTACGTTATTCGCAGTGCGATCTTTTCCCGACGAGTTTTTCTCGTACCTGGTGGTCTGGATCCTGTCTCCCAAGATTGGAAGGAAAAAATATGGAAGGGAAGTTGGAGGAATTATTATAATTTCGATCTCGTTCGTATCTTTTTCTCTCGATTGAGAATATGCTCGCGCGTTCTGTGTTTATTATCTGTGTAACAATGGAAACGCAACGACGTTGACAGTTGATTTGACAACTGACGTGAGAGTAAGGTATATTTTTCTTGACATTCGCAACATCGAGAATTGTGGACTCGAGATTAAATCGATTTCGTTCAGGGTATCGCGAAAATTCGTTCGATTAAAATCGGCGCAAAATTAATCGTCTTCATCAAGTTTGTGATAAAAGATTGACATTAATCGGTTTCAAAAATCTACGTTAAAATATACTAATTTCGAAATTGTTTTCTCTTACTTTTCTTCAAATACAGAATATGTCAAAAGATAAGGTCAGAATATGTCAAAAGATAACCAAAAGATGAAGAGAGATAATAAAAAACGCGTAAAAAATGTACACAGACGAAACTAATTCCACATTTGTTCTGTCGCGCGCGTTTTTAAACAGACATAATATATTTCAAAAGTATCTCAAGCATAAGCATTGTAACGATAAACAGTAAATAATATGTTCCTCGATGGAACAATAATCGCTCCTGCCAATGTTTTTCTGTTATTGAAACAATATGTATTCTCTCTCTCTCAGGGTGAGCATATCTCAACGTGATAGCCAACAAAACACGTTGCACATTCTCACCCAATCTATTCTAGTCGCGTATCTGTCGCGGAAGATCGCTCTGGCCTCTTTCATCTCCGAGTTACATTCATCCGTGTGAACTTCCAGTATATGAGAAAAAAAAAATGCCGAGGGAAGAGCAATAATAGAAAATTCTTCAATTCCCTGTCAACTCTATTTACATGTTTCTCCACAACACAAGTGCGTGCCGCGTCGCTCCTCTCCCCGCCGATTGACCTTACTTCTCGGGGTACCGTACATCAGAGTGCTCTCCTTTTTTTTTTTCGCCGGGAACCCTTCGTTTAATTGCACATCGGGCTCGAGAGGCGGCGGTTAATCATTTTATTTGCGAAATCTCAAGTGCCGTTGACACGCGGTGGTAATTTGCGCGGCTGTCGAGGAGAAAGGGAGGGGGGAGAGGGGAAGTAAACATCGTAATCGCGAGAAACGGGAACCGCAATTTCGCGAAGACCATACATCGTATGAAGAACGTTATGCGGAAACAGCGAGATGCAATTTGCGTAATCACTCTTCTCTCTCGACATAATATACTTGTATTATATAAATATATATATATATATATATTTTTTTTTTTTTTTCGGATGCTTTGGATGCCGAGAATAGTTCGCGAAAGCGTGGGAATTATTTTGCAGTAATTTTGTCGCAGCTATGATACGAGCGTTTTTGCCAAAAATGGAGAATGTTGTGGAGTTTCGACAAGCGCTGTTGAAATATAATATTAGTAAAACAGAGAACCGAAAAAATTATTATAACTAAAACATTTATAAACTATTATAATTAAAACATTATATGACACATCTCGACGAGGAGAAATTTTACGAAGCGTATCGTCGATGACCTTTCGGCGAATAATTTCGCGATAACTGCTGTTGTGCTATTCCTGGATCGCGGTGCGAATACGGAATGTACGGAAAGCCTTCACTTATCGTGATGGGTTATCAAACGAAAGCAAATAATCCGACAAATAGGTCAATTAATGAGATAATACGCGAGAGTCGCGAATGTCTGGAATCTATATTTCTTCTGACGTTCCTTCCGCGAATGCGAAGGTCTCTTTTTTGTCGTTTTCACTTTCGGTAAACATTTCCCCGAGGTTGCGTCGCGATATTAGCAATAAAGCGCGAATGCGATAGCTACACAAATATTTAAAAATAATGTAGATAACGAAACTTTCCATTGAGGACGTTATCATTTTTTTTCAAAGTCAGACGACATTTTCGTAAATATAATCATCTCTCTCTCGTCTCTTAAATTAGATTGTTATATAAAAGATACAGGTGTAATAAAAAATGCGCGCGTTACGCAATAATAACGCGTTAGCAATATGTTTTTTTTTAAATTATGGATTTATATATCACGCAATACCTGCGTGTTTTCCTGGACTTAAATAAGCCTTCTTTATTATTATTATTGTTATTAAACGATTAGGCGAGAACGTAATTAATTTGTTGGTCCGATCTCTCGAGACGAGTAATTCCGTCTGCGCGCGAATAAAAAGTGCCGAGTAACGTCTGACAATAAATTTTCTGATTGGGTGGCGCTCGCAAAAGTAGATAATAGTCATAACTGTATCTCTAACAAGAAATGCGTTGCATTATTCATCTCTCGTTCGTTTAATTGACAGGCGTAACGGAAATCGTGTTAGAAGGAGAGCTAGACGATAAAATGCAACGAGATCGCATAGTATATAAGTTGCGCGCGAAACACGCATGCAGTACGCGATTTGTACGGCAAGCTAATTGATAAAACTCCCCTCTAGATTTAAGATTGTTCGACAAGTCGTGTCATTATGCGCGATCTGACCCGCTCGCATTCCACAAATCTCGGCTAGCAAATTATATCGCGCGTTACAATTATACTTTTCTATATCGTAACTCTGACACACTTTGCCATTTTTCTCAGAGAGCCGATTTTTGCATGTGATTATAAATTACGAGCGCATATATATGATAGTGCATAATATACGATCTCGCGTTTGAAAGGCAAATTCGCGCAGAGAGGAGAAGAAAGGAAGATGAAGAACAAAGAGGAGAGATGACAATCCAGCGGTTGTCGCTGCTTGTCACGGGGTAATCGGGCCCGATTATTTTTCTCGTTCCCCGCGTCTTCTTTCACTCTCGCGCTTTCTCAATTGCTCCCCGTAACTTTAATAATCCTTTATTTACTGGTCGGCGGCGACACTCCGTGACATTCCAAAGTCTTTGCGCACAATTACCCGAGTTTGTTATCATCTACGCCGCGATACCGCGTAGCTTGGGTGCGAAATTTGCCCGATGTAGAAGCTCGAGAATTACATGCGTCCAATCTCGATTTTTAGTTTCTAAATATAAACTATATATTGATTTTATATTTATATTTTATTTACATTTTATTATTTATATTTTATATATATTTTTATTTTTGATTTTATATTTTATATTTTATTTTTATTTTTATTTTTGATTTTATATTTTTTTATTTTTAGATTTTATATTTCTATTTTTGTATTTTTATATTTATATTGATTTTATGTTATTATATAATTAGAATTTTTTTAGATAATTTTTTAACGAAAAGGTTTTTAATTACACGAGTGTATAATTTTTCTCTGAAATTTATTCATTTAGAATAATTTGATATATTTCTGCAAAGATGATCGAAATTTTATTCCAATAAATGTATTTAAGATTTTTCTTTTTTTTCTTCTGAAACAAAATGTGTTTTGCCGCAATGTGAAAAAAGTAGAAATTACGTAGGAGAGATATAGAAAGGAAAAGAGAGAGAAAAGAGCTTTCGATAGCCGTACGGAGTACTTTATCTTCTTTCTTTTAGCGTGGGACTGGTTCCGCGAGATATGTAAAGCGACATGTTTAGAGCTCCGCGGTTCTTTATTAGACCTTTATTAGAGATTCAATCAAAGCTCCGATCGGAAAATTATTGATGCTAATCGGTCGAGCTAAGAATAGTTTATTCGTAGAACAAGTTCCAAGGCTGAATGTGAAACTTGATAAAAATAAGGCGAGTTAAGAGAAGAAAGGGATGTCATTTCTTAAATGAACGTTTAAAGAATGCTCGTTTTTCCTCGAGTCAATTTTTTGCGAGACACGTTTATCTTTGTACAAAGATAAAAATAGGCGAATGTGAGTAAAAATTTGTTTTCAACCAAGAAGAGAAAGAGAAAGAAAAGGAGATTGGAGTCGCGTTATTGAAGAAGAATGCGGTTTTGCCGCAATGTGACGATCGCGAGCACGCTACGTTCCTCGGTAGATACCGTCCCTGAAGATTCCCGGCAGGTGAGCACGGGATACGATGAGAGACGGTACTTACCTAGCGGTGCGCTTAATTAAAGTCATTAACGAGAGCGAACAATGTAGCCGGTCAAGCAGGCTCAGAACGCACCCACGGAAACCGCTATAAGAAACATTCGCAGAATGCGAAACGCCCGCTTGTTTGCCTCTTTCGAGCATTTTATCTCCCGACGAAAATCGCCAATTTTTGCTCTCGATCGAAAAAAATCTCGCAATGAACGTATCTTATCCGAATTTTTTATTATTTCCGAAAGTAGCAATTATTGCTATCGCTTTTTGAATTTACTCGAGTGAGAGGAATATAAAAAATCCAACGAGAGATGCGCGAGAAAAAGTAGATTGATATAAACGCGAAAAATGTTTAACGTGAAAAATTAAGGAATACAGGTTTCTTTTTTGTCGAATCTTTTGCCTAAAGATAAAATACTACCTCTTCTCGAAAGGTCCAACTCTTCGAGTTCGCTTCGAGGAACTCGCAAGACGATTTCTCTCCTGCTTCCAAGTCAGCGGAATATGACGCTGATATTGTTTTCGCGCTAATGTACGCATTGACTTTGCGCGTTGATGCTATAAGCGCTGAATCAATATCGAATATGTGCATGGATCCTTCGCCCCTCGTTCGATTAATATCCGCAATTCATACATCATTCATATCATCATTGATATCATTTACGCTATTTTCTTCCCGATTCGTGTAAGAAAGATACGTCAAAGCAAGTGCGCAAGGGAGGGAAAGAGGTGCCGAGAAAAAGAGAGCCGCGGGATCATCGGGGCAACACCGGGAGCGTTATCGGCGAATTGCAAATAAAGGTCCGCAAATAACACTGGGGCACTCAGTCAGTCACGAGGAGATCCATAAGTAGAACCGTATACATCGCGTTCTCCCTCTTTCGTTCTCTTCCTTTCTTCCTCGGCGCATGAGAAAACGCGCGACGTTTATTGCTCCTTTCGCGTCGGCGTCGCATGCGTTTTAATGCTAAATCACGGCGCACAAATGGTGCCTTATCGGAGCCAATCTCGCGAAACCGGTGCGGCGATCGCGAAAAATGCGTCCTCGCCAATTACACCTGAGTTAAGCGCGAGATCTAGCTCTTGCCTTGCACGTAATGCGTCTACGATTGTAAGAAACAGCTGCTTTCGATCGGATGACGAAAGTATAGAAAGTGTCTGAGAATGACATTTAAAAGCTTAGTATTTTGAGAGTCAATTAAAACTAAAAGACTATCCATCATTTTTTATAAAGAATAATTCGTTGCCCACGATTTTAAGGGGTTATGCCTAGTCGTAAAAATGAAAAAAAGGAAAACAATTTTACAATTCTTTAAAAAAGTATATCTTATTGAAAATATTTTCTAAAAGTTTCTAAAAAATTAATCGGATGTAAATTGACGGAGTTATAAGTATATATTTCATGAATCTCCAGATGTATAACTTCGTTTAAACACGACTATAAAGCTTCAGCTCTGATGTTTTGAGGGTTATCAAGCCAATATACGAAGATTTAAATAAACTAAAATTATATGAGCTCGAAATAGATTCTGTGTAAATTAAAAAATTTGCATTTTATTTAAATGTAAATTTAACACAAATTTTAAAGGCGTTTTTCTCGAAATCACTTTTTCAAAGTCGGTGAGCAAGATATTTCGAAACCGAACATCGAAAACCATTACATCGATTTGCTTAAAATTTTACAGACTTCTTCTATATGTAAAAACCTAGTATGATGAAGAGATGAACGAAGGATTTTGTTTTCTAATGAATACTTTTTTTACTTAATAAAAAATGAGCAATTTTGAAGTCGAAAAAGAATATCTTGGTGTCAAATGGCTGCCATTTTGTCCCAAAACAATTTTTCAATTAATCCTTCGTTCATTTACTAGACAATTTCATATATTAACTACACTTTATCGAATTTTTGATATCGGACGAATCAGCTTCAAATAGCACTGCTCACCGCTTTTTAAAATACAACATCCGGGGGAATAGTTATAACTTTTACATTTTTTAATATTTTATTTAAAAAAAATATATAATAACATCCTTAATATTTGTATTTTTGAATAAAAATTTATTTGTAAAAAAAAATTCCCAAACATCATACTTTTTTCGGTCCGCTGACTAGGCGTAACCCCTTAATACGCCAGTTAATAAAAGAGCTCCCGAGAGAAGTTCCCTTAGTGCGTTCTCGATCGGTCGGGGCAACACAAGGACATCCGTTCGGGCGCCAAATAATGACTCGGCATTCAAATAATGACTCAAAACGCGCCTTAGGGAGAGAGCACAGCGGAGTTTACGCACTCCCGAGATACGGCGTCAGTCGTAGTACTATCTCGCGCCGGAGGAGACGAGCCTCGTATCCGCGAAGCAGCGCACGATTACGATAAGAGGGAACCTATTATACTCTTGGCGCGTTTGCGCTGCGCGAAATTGTCGTCGCGCGAACGCGAACGTTTCTCGAGATAGAAGAGAGAGAGAGACCTCGATTTTTTTAATCCTTCCTCGGTGCAGGGATTCGACTGGAGGATGCTGCTGTCCGGAGCGTGGTTCGAGACCATCGCGGCGGCACTGCTCGCGATCCTGGTGCTGGCCACCGGTTACAGGCCACCCTGGTGGTTCTGGACCAGAAATTACAACGTCGCCAACGTCGGTGAGTTGAGAATCCTTCGATCTCTTTAGCAGAGCTTCGATGTATCGACACCCACGATATCGGTCAATGGCACCATATATCGCTTCTTTCCCCATCACTTTTATCGTTATCGAATGTTATTTACGAACGTTAGATTCAAGTTGAGAAATCACGCTTCCCAATTGATAACATTAAATGCAATTGATAACATTAAATGCAACGATAGAGCAATGCCACGAGGTACATCCGGAACTTCCTTGAGCATTTTAAGAGATGGATAAAGAAGAGCAAGATTATTTTTGTATATAAATTTTTGTTCTCTTCAAGAAAGCAGCGAGCAAAGGTCCCATTGTTCCGAAATTGTCTCGATCTTTTTGATTTGAAAATCAATGTATTTTTTTCGCAGACACAGGCGACAACGGCAGGAAGTTCAAGACGGCGCGCGATGTACCAGGTCCATTCGCTCTGCCGATTCTCGGCACCAGGTGGATATATTCCCGCTTCGGTCACTACAGCTTGAACAAGATCCACGAGGCGTATCAAGGTAAAGAGTTTCGCCTTTGCCCTTTTTTTTTACGAAGGCAACGTTAGACGGCGAGTTAGACATTTCCTTTGTGCATCCACGATTTTTGTGCTGATGACATCTCAAGGTTGCGCGCGAAGAACGAGAGGGAGAGAGAGAGAAAGAGAGAAGGAAGCAGAAAAGCGGGGGACGCGTGAATACAGTTCATTATATGCTAATGTGTCCCACACGATTCTCCGGATAATATCCGATTAACAATTTAGATTAATCCGCATTATATGCGGACCTTCTAAAAAAAAAGGCCGCGCGATTATAGGAACGGGATGGCGGGTAAAACGTGTCTTTTTCAGAGGGTCAGGGTCAATGATACTCCAATCTTATCGCGGTGAATTCGCTGTAATCACGAGTGAAAAAAAAAATGGGAAATAAATCGTGACAAGAAGAATCTACGGGTCAACGAGCACATTTACATCACGTCGAAAGTTGCTTATGTAACGTTACGATAGATTCGTGAGAAAATTATTTCTACGCAAGGTACATCGAATTTAATTGACGGATCAATCATTTGTTATTAAATTGCGCTGATATACATGATCGTGATTCTCGAATCAATATTTCTTTCATCGACTTTATGTATCTCGATATGTCGACTCTTATAAAAAAAAAGATATGTGAAACTGAAAATTATAATCATTTGGCACAGTTTTTTTTCTAAGCCCGATTGAAGGCGAAATATCGAAATGATAAAAAGAGATATGGATCTCTCCTTGCTCGAAATCCAGAGTAAACTACTCGACATGCTCTCTCCTTCTCGTCGATATATGGTATTTTAATATGGCTCGTTCTCCCGTAATTTAAGAGTAGATCTGAATCGGCGATATGGGTCGTTGTGCAAGGAGGAGGCTCTGTGGAACTACCTCGTGGTGTCCGTGTTTGCCCGTCGCGACATCGAGGCTATCCTCAGACGGGGCTCGCGATACCCGCTTCGTCCTCCGCAGGAGGTCATATCCCACTACCGGCGCTCCCGGCGCGATCGTTACACCAACCTTGGTCTGGTCAATGAGTGAGTAGCCTGCCGCTCTCGGCGCGCTCGGCGATTACGCCCGCCGCGGTATCGAGGTCAAGTTTAAGGTCGCGTCGTGTAACTTTTCGGTTCGTATATATTCCGAACTTGTATACGTTATACCAGATGATCGCCTGGAACGAACCAGCGCAGTTCTCTAGTCCGTCTTCTGGTTATAAAAAAGGTTGACAATTTTAAAAATTGCGGATTATTCATTTTATTCACTTATTTAGATTATTTATATTTTTATTTATTTTATTTTTATTTTATTATTTATTTTGATAGATTTTATAGATTTTTATTAGAATATTATTTATTTGAAAATTCTTCATTTTTGGAGATAGATAGTACAGTAATAAAATATAGCGAGAAAAAGAGAAGAAGAAATTTATATAAATAGATCATATATAAAATGTGTATAAACAATTTATTAATTTGCGAAAGACATCTATGAGACAGATTGAACCGCTTAGGATTTTTAAAGACGCGAGAACAATCGCGAATGATGAGCGATATTTTCTTAATAGGCAAGGAGCAACCTGGCAAAAGCTTCGGGCCGCTTTAACGCCGGAACTTACCGGGGCCGGTACCGTATTCGGTTTCTTCCCGGCGCTCAACATAGTCACCGATGGATTCATCGACCTAATCCGCAAACGAAGAGCGGATTTTACCGTGAAAGGCTTTGAGGAACTCGCTTACAGAATGGGACTTGAGAGTAAGTCATTGACATCTGCTTGACATTTTTCCCTTGCATATGGGAATCATCAGCAACTCTGATTTGACAGATATATCTCTGTTGAACAATTTTATTAATTTCAAAACGACACGTTCTTAAATATTAGAATAATAACGCTCAGCTTTAGACTTATAAGGAATGTGTTTTTTCAAACTTTTCTTCTCGTGGAAAGAGAAAAAGAGAGATAGGCTAAAGCGTATCTTGATTCGCTCATGATCGTGAAAATTATTAAACCCGTTGCTGATAACGCGTTACAACTCGTTCCGTTTATTCGTAGGCACATGCACGCTGATTCTTGGGCGTCACCTAGGTTTCCTAAAACCAGATTCCAGCAGTACACTCACAACGAGATTAGCGGAAGCGGTCAGGATTCACTTCACGGCCTCGCGCGACGCCTTTTACGGTCTGCCGCTTTGGAAGTTGTTACCGACATCCGCATATAAGCAACTAATAGAGAGCGAGGACATTATATACAAGTACATCACGTGTATTCGCTTTCCAACTGTTATATTAAATGACCGATTTATGACAGTTGAATTGTTGCCGAGAGAAAATTTTGAATAATTTATAGCCATTATTTTTAAATAATTAATTTTTAAATAATAAATTTTAAATAATTTATAGCTATTATTTTTAAATAATTCTTTTTTTATTTTACATTTTTAATTTAGTACCTTAAATTGCTTTAGTTATATAATTTTATTAAAGTCAACAAAGAGATTTAACAAGATTTAATTAGAATAAATTGAAATATTTTGCATTTTGTCTGTAAATTGCAACAGAGAAGAAGAGAGAGAGACGAAAGAGAAAAATTATTTTTTATTTACAATATGCATATTACATTAGAGAATTTGAAACACGTTTAAAATTAGTAATCCGCTATTCTTTATTGTTCTTTTTTTTTTTGAAGTATTATTTCGGAGCTCGTGGAAGCGACTGTGTTGGAGAAGCAAAATGACGCCAAAGACGAATCTGTCGAGGCGGTATTCCTGTCTATTTTGCGGCATAAAGATCTCGATATGAGAGATAAGAAGGCCGCCATAGTGGATTTCATAGCGGCGGGAATACACACAGTGAGAAAGCTACTTTGTATTAATTATAGTTGGTTAGCACGGTTTGTTAGATTTTGGCTACTTGATATCATTCGTGACTATAGACAAAATTCAATTTTCAAATTTTATAAATAACTTAAAGATAACTTATTTATAAGATAATTTATTTCTGAAAAAATTGCAACCTCTTTTCCATAAAAGAATTTTAAATTTTCGTTTTTTTTTCATTATCTTTAAATCGCCTCTTTTTTTTTTTACTTTATATCATTCGGATTGTCAATCGCGATTACTACTACAGGGTTAAAGACACAGTCGTTGGACGTTTGCAGCTAGGCAACACGCTGGTATTCCTTTTCAACTTGATTGGCCGTAATCCTGAAGTGCAGGAAACTCTTTACAAGGAGGCGCAGTCCCTGGCGCCTCCCGGTTGCGATCTCACGGTGGATGATCTCCGAAAGGCAAAATATTTACGCGCCTGCATCACAGAATCTTTCAGGTGTTCTCACATTAATTGATAATAATTTAATAAAATTGTTTAAAAATTTCTTCTCTTATACACATTTACGTTGCGATAAAATGAACACGTTTCTGAAAATATGATGCAAGTGTGACTTATATACATTCCAGAATTGTACCCACGACACCTTGCATAGCGCGCATACTGGACGAGCCTATAGAATTGGGAGGGTATCGCCTCGATGCCGGAGTAAGTTTCAGTATTATCTGTATAAATTCGAGAAAGTCGATACAACATTTTTGGCGATTTCAGACAATAGTATTGTTGCATACGTGGATAGCAGGATTGAGCGACGACAATTTTAAAGATGCGTCCAAATGCTTACCAGAAAGATGGTTGAAACCTATGGTGCCTCACTCGCCTTTATTGGTGGCTCCTTTCGGCGCCGGTAGAAGGATATGTCCAGGAAAGCGTTTCGTAGAGCTCGCGCTGCAGCTTATTCTGGCAAAGGTGAGGAAAAAGTATATCAAAGTATACGTAAGAGAAAAATCATGGAGCAAATTTTTGATAAAATTACCCGGAGCTTGCTCTTGTTGATTAATTGATTTTTATTTAGATTATTCGGGAATTCGAGATCGTCGTCGAAGAAGAACTTGGCTTGCAATTTGAATTTATTCTGGCGCCGCAAAGTCCTGTATCCCTCGGATTCCGAGATCGTACGTCGAGGGCCGAGATGACCTGAGATTTATTCGCGTTTTCATCGGCGAACGTTTATCGAACAATGAATGTTAATTGAATGAACGAATGATAGATTCGATTGTTGTCGAGCGAGGCTTCGCACGTGCTTCGCTCGTCTTCCGGGTTGGCGCTCCGTTTTTTTTTTCATCGATTGATTTCCGAGATTAGATATTAGATTTTACACTTGTGTATTATTTGTAAGATTCTTTTTAATTCGTTGAAAAGGAACTCCGTTCGTTTATCGAGGAAAGGGGATGAAAGTGGTCGTTACTTAATGTTATAATATTTATATCTAGTTGTAAGGAAAGCGTAAACAATCGGGATCCTCTTACCTTTTAAGACATTGACGCATATTGCATGCAATGCCTCTGTCACCCTTTTTTCTTTTTCTTATCATATTCTATAAAATGAAATTTATAGTCTAAACTCTTATCATGTCGGGCAAAACATTATTTCATACTCATAATAAATTAATTAAAATTAATAAAATTATAAATATAAATTTTAAAAAAAATAGAGGGAGTGAGAAAGACGGCATGCGAATGCAAATGTGCTCGCGGGTTTCTTAGTCACCTCATTTTTATCCACGATAACTACAATAATAATTAATAAAATAGTTAATGTACAACAAATATATACATAATCATACGGAAAAAATGTTATGTATCTCATATTTGTTGTATAAGAACTTATATATACGGTTTAATGTTCATTTATTTAATATTATGTGAATTTATTTATTTATTCGAATTTTTTTATTAGAGCTTGTTAGAGTGTCATTTCGTACATCTGTCGCGATCAACTGTTGGGATGACTGAGTTACCCCACATCGTAAAATCGCGAGATATAATGTATGCCTATTTACGATATTCTTATCAACGGCACAGAGAAGAAGGGCACATTTAATTATATAATTTAAGCACATTTAATTATATAATTTAAGTACATTTAATTATATAATTTAAGCACATTTAATTATATAATTTATAGTTATTTATTTTTCTGCGCACGTATTTTCCGTTTACGGTAAAAGTAAGACGATCCCAATATGTTACCTATCGATTGCGCGCACCGATTGACTAGCTATGGCTGAATGTTATATTTACGTTACTGTACGAATGATTTATATGCAACGTAATCCGTTGACTATCGAAAAAAATTCGTTTTTTTCGAATTATTACGCTTTTTAAAAGCGGTGCCGAAAAATTATATCATACTTATATCGGAGAGCGATCTCTCTCAGTTTTTTCGCGCGGTTTTTCATGCAATTTGAAAATGGATCGTTGATGAAAATGATCGTTGATTTATACACTTGTACATAAAATATGTAGATAGTTCTTGTTGAAAATATAATGCATAAGAAATATATATATAATATTGTGCAATATATATGAATTATGTGTTTGCAAATCTTATTTTTCTTTTTTCTCGTATTAAAATATGTATATGTGCATATGTAATTAATTGTAAGTTTATATTTAATAATGTTCCGTGTGTATTTCTTCGATCAAATTTTTCGAATTGTATTATATATCATCATTATAAATGTCTGTTAATTTATTGTGCCGGATATATATTCTACAATATAATATTTATCTTTATGTTAACGTCGTAAGAGAGAATTACAATATATCGTACGCATTATATTAGTCGCGAATATGTTACATATAATTTTATAAATATATTCTAGGGTACTAAAAGGAAAATTCCCGCAATTTGGCATTTTTCAAACATAAAAATCGGGACATTCCTTCAAGTTTCCTTGGTCATAAAAACATGGTAAAGCTGGAGATAGATTTGATTATCTTTCTCTCGAATCGAGAAACTTGCATTGTTTGGTGTGGTAGTTGCGTAATAAACTAAAATAATCTTACTTATTTTGGCTTAACACTGTGAGACATAATACATAAGCGAGAATAATAATCATAATCTTCATTATCTAAATCCTGCGAACTCTATATTTTACGATAACATCCATCAGCTTTTCAGCTATCAATATTTACCGATTTTATACTGCTTGTTATTCTTCTAATTGTAATTGTTAAATGAATAGACTTTCTAAATTCTCTCGGCAACCTTACAGATACAATTCGTTTTCTCATCGAAGAGAGACATCACTTCACCATGGCCTTGATACTCTTCGGAAGGTTCTGTATGGAACCCTTGTTGACACTAGCAGCTGTAGGCCGCATAAAGCTGTGACTCTTGGACCCGGCTCGCGGTTGAATTAATCTACTTCTCGTACTGGACGTCTTGTCGCCAATCGCTGATCGATTTCCCATGATCGATTGCTGACCGATGCTGCTACCGCTGCTGCTGCTACGCGAAGTGATGGGTCGACCCCTCGCGACCTTTGGCATGTCAGCTGCTACCTGTCGACCGATGTGTAAAAATCACGTGAAAATGTAACTCCAGTAAAATTTTAGAAACTTGCTCGAGTGAAAATCGTCCATCAAAATCTACATAATTTTTCAAAAACTCTTCGAGAAACTGAAATTTGAATTTGAGTACCAACCTCCGATGTTTTTCGAAGGCTTCTCGCTGTCGGTCCGACGCTGCTACCGCTGCTGCTGCTCCTGCTGGCGGGTATCCTGCTGACGCTGACCTGACGAGGATTCGGCCGTCTCTTATCAACGATGTTCTTTGGCGGCAGTGGACTATTCGACGGGCTACTCTTCCTCAAGTCGTTGGTGAGCGCGCGAATGGCCGAGGTGTAGCTACGCAGATGCGCGTGATTCGCGGCCAGATTACGTACCGTGTTCACGGACGTTGCGCTGTTCAAGGAACTTCGCGAACTGCGCAAGCTACTCCTGGAACCAGAACGTTGCACCTCATTCTTCAACGAAGTTCCCGGAATGCCCGACAATGATTGGGCGTTCGAAGTCTTCTTCAGGGACTCGGTCTTCCTTAACGTGGACTCGCGCTTCATGCTCGCAGCCCGTGGCAGGAAACTCGATTTTTCCGACGCATTTCTTGCAGCCTCCTTCTTGCCGAAAACCTTACCCGATGCTGGCTTGGATAATTTGTCGACGGACAAGGATCTTCGCTTGCTACGGCTGTCCACATCGTCATCGTCCATCGTTACCGTGATGCTACGTCTGCGCTGTTCACCACCGTAGCTCAACTCCGCTGGTGAACATCGCGTCGAGTCATGCGTGTCTGTCTCGTAATTGCCCGAGGACGTCTCCTGGCTCAGGGTCTCCGAAACGAGGCTCTGCGTCTCCTCGAAACCTTCGTCATTCAGTTCCTGATCTCGAGTGACTTTGCCCGGCGGCGACGATGTCACACTTATATCAGGGATGAATCTGCTGCGGAACATAGAGTTCTGCCGTGTCATCAGCGGGCGATCCCCCGAATCGTCCGCGGATCGGACGTTTTTCTCAAGATTTTCCTCGACATTTCTCAGCTCTTCTGTGCGCTTCTCCTCTTCCATGATTTTGGACGCGTCGTCTCGCTCGTCTATCGAATTCTCGCTTCGGAAGCTCCTGTTCGACGGTTCCTGCTTTTGGTTCACCTGACTAGGCGGATTGCTAGTCAAGCGAACCGCTTCCTTCACCTGACTCGGATCGATCATGCTCCGGTGACGTTCGCGACTTGTCACCGCTCGCTCAGCAAGTACCGTGACGGGTTCACGTGGTCGTGACTCTTGCATTACCGGGCTCAACACGGTGTTGGTCACCGCTACCACTGGCGGCGGTGGTTGACTGATCGGCAGTCTTGAATTTCTATGACTCATCGTCGTTGTCGTTTCCGACGTCGTGGTCGATAGACGTTGCAGATCTTCGCCGGAACGTGCGATCTCTGCCAGCGCGACGTCGATGTCGAGCGATGATGATGAGGCAACGATGTCGCGTCGCTTCAGCTTGTCCTGCCAAAGGCGCAACATGGCGTCCTCGTCCTCGCGGGTATCCTCGTCGGCCAGGGCGAGGGTGTTGGGTCGCTGCACCGGCTTCTCGTCGCAGACCAACTCGGGGCTCGACATGTCCTTGTCACCCGCGGGATCCTGGGTCTTTTTGTATCTACGAGTACGTCGTGTTGCCGAATATCTGTCAAAGTTGCCTGGAAAAGTTGCGAGCGATTATCATTGATAAGAGATATTCCGAATACAAGACACTTTGTTTTCTTTATTTCTCTCGCGTTTTCTCTTTCTTCTCGCTTACCGTTACCGAGATCCATGCTGATGGGTTTCAGGATCGCAGTCTTCATATCTCGACTCTGGAGGGAGCTGCTGCAACGTTCTCTCTTGCATGGCTCCTTCTCCACGGGTTTCACTTCCTTCGGAGGACTAAACAGTCGTCTGGTCGCTGGTGGCGTCTCGATATTGTCCGAATCAATCTCGATTTTATCGCTGATTCGTTCTTCATCTGCGGGTCTTTTGCCGAGCTTCGAGAATCGCCGGGTTGCAGATGCTTGCGACCCGGTGTAAGGTTGCCGAAGATAGATGGTCAACTCATCCTGAGTGTCCATGTTCAGAGCGTCGTTGAGCTTGTTCTTCTTCCTGTCCTCTTCTCTGATCGCCTGTAAATATATCGCATAATTTAATCCTTTGAAATCTTAAAAATTTCTCTCTTTTATCAAAAATTTTAGATGAAAGATAGCTAATATATTTGTAATTATTATATTATAATTATTATATTTTTGTATTTATTATGTTTATATATTTATTATTAAATTAAGACTGTATCTTTTTTCAAAGAATTATATTTATGCTCACCTGCAGTGTGCTCGGAACGAGAGCGTTTTCCGTATTGTGTCTCGACCTAAATCTACGGGAATAACGCGGATCAGTCTCTTCCATACTATTTGGTACGTTTAAGCTTGATTTTCGCCAAGGAGATTTATCCTGCGACGAAAGTGGTTGAGCTTCTGAAAGAAGTAAAAGTATGGATAAAATGCATGTTGATCAATAAAAAAAAATAATAAAAGTGTAGTATAGATTTAATTCTCGACAACATGACGCAACGAGACAACTTTCGACATAATTCGCAAAAGTATTCACCTTCAATGGCCTCCATTGTGCGCATTACATCCGTTTTCTCGACGGACGGTCGCCAATCGTAAACTTCAGAGAATCCTCCTTCGTGCACGGATCGATCTTCCGTCAAAATGTTCGTGCTTTTGCCTTCGTTTTCTGCAGGAAACGTTTCGCGTTTAGATCCACAATGTCCAGATTCTTATGAACGAATTATTTAATTATTACGGGAGCAACTCACCCGAGTCTTCGAAGGACCGTCGGTTTGCCTGGTGCAATTGCTTCGCTCTTCTCTGAAGCTGCTCGCCCGCGCGATCCTCCTTTTCGTTTTCCGACAGCCACGCCTCGATCTTTTGTCTCCAGGCTTTCCTGATTTCCACACATGATAAGTGATTTGAATTTTTATTATTTTTTTCAAGTCTTGAAACATAAAAATTATAGCAGAATAATCACTTTTCAGGTTTTCAGATCAAATTAAACACTCACCCGGTCGGCTTCGCTTCCTCCTCCTGCAGGAACGGCTTGCTCTCCGCGAGGGGAGACGGCGAGCTCGGTCGTTCCCGATCTCCCGAAAAATCGGCGTTCAAAAGATCCCCTCTTCGCGACTGTCCGCGAGCTCTTCGCGCCCACGATCGATCTTCGGTAAAAAATAATAATTATTTCAAATTGATCAAGTAATTCGATAGTGTATCAACTGGCGCATTAAATACCTAAACTTCCCCACGATTTCCTCTCCCGCGTATTGTCTTGTCCGGATGTTCGCAAAAAATCCATTAGATTCCCGTCATCATCCTCGCAGGGTATCCTGCTCCTGCGTCGACGAAGCGTGCCATTAGGCGTGATATCTATCGAATAGAAGAAAGAATCTCTGAAGTACATTTCTATTATACTTTGGCTGATTACGAAACATAATAAAGCAATCGATTGTGCAAAGACTCACACACAGAAAACACATTGCTTTTTATTCCTGAAAACTTGATCAGTCACTAAACTAATAATTGTATGATTGAATAAAGTTTTTAAATTTATAGCTTCTTTTTTATAAGATGCGCGATATGATACCTGGTGAATATGTGTCTTCTTTGGTAGATTGTTGATCGGGACCGCCTGAGCACGATCCTAAACGACGTCGGATATTGGGCGACCCAACGATGGAAACGTCCTCGTCCGATGTGACGCCGCCACTTTGCAATCTTCTCATCTACAAATGTCGAAAATATTTCATCCTGATATATGGAAAATCGAAGGACATTATTTAGAGCAGAATTTTGTACAGCCACTTGATTACAATAATACTTTTATGATCATGTTTGCAGATTGAAATGTAAAAGTCGATTAATTTTATATAATTAAGATAAGATTTTTACGATACAAAATTATACTGAAATCGATTTTATACTCTTCTTTTTACACTTCGATTTCTATTTTCTTGTTTGAAGAATTTGTTCGCATTTAATTTTGCCAAGAACATTATATGTTACAACGAGATGTTAAGTAGATGCTAAGCAGATGATAAAATTTACCTTGGCCTCACCACGGCTGTAACTTCTTTGAGGTAAACCGGTGTGGAGGTCGAATAATCCATAGTCCATCAGATTAGACTCGGATTCCGAGCCTGGTGTCTCCGCTTGATTGCTCACTGCATATTTAACGAACACAAATCTTACTTGTTGAAAAAATATTATTAAAGTATATTAATTAAAGGAACAGGACAAAGAAAAAGAGAAGAAAATACACTATTGCAATGAATATAAACTAAACATTTATCAATTTTTAAAAGTATTTCATCGCTTTATGTGAAAAAAATAAGAGCTCTTAAAATCTAAAGTATAAAACAACGCTTTTTGTGCAAGATACACTCACGCAATCGTTTTCTCGCCAGTAGCTGTTCCTCGCGCTGCTTGCGACGCGCTAGGACCTGCTCCTCCTGAATACGCCGCCTCTCGTTTTCCGCGATCGCCTGATTGAACTTTTGGCAAAACTGATGGAATATCTTAAAACACTCCTCGATCTTAAACGCGCTCGTGTCTTCGCAAAAGAATTCCGCGAGCGATCGTCTCACTCCTTCGAGTTCCTCCATGTCCCTCTTTAACTGCGCCATTTCTTGCTCAGCCATCTGCGGAAGAAAAATTTTATTCATTTATATTTTAATTATTTTCTTATCTTTTTTATTCCACGTGCCGTGATTTCTATCTAGATTTATTACAGATTTATTACATTTCTTACCTGAAGAAACTGTGCCATTTGTTCCTGTATATCGCTTTCGGTCGAAGAGAGCTGAATTTGACCTTTGATCTTTTTAATCTTCGTATCCAAAGTGTTAAATTCGTTATTAAGTTGCTCGATCGTCGTTCTTGTGTATAGAAAATTGTTTATTGCAGGATTAGTAATTTTATTTCTCTTCATTTAATTATTATATGTAATAATAGAATAACTTACTTTGTCGCTGCTTCTAAAGCAGTCATGTTTTTTGTGAAATTTAGCAAGTCTTTTCGTTTTCTCTCAGCTTGCTAAAAAATAATATAAAATCTTGAATAAACTTATATATTGTATACACATAATGAACAAAAAAAATATTAATCCGCAGTACCAATGCTACGTAATGTATCAGATTCATCCCCGGCTTGTTCGCACGAATTTCCGTTAGTTTTTGCAAAGAAGAAAGCTTTACACCTGCCGCATTGCCAGCGTAACCGCCCTACAAACATAAAATATAACAAAATATAACATAAAATATAACAAAAAATATAATAAAATTAAATATATTCGTAAAGATTGTCAAAAAATTTACTGGCAAGCTGAATACATACAGAGTTGAGGAAGTTTCCGGCGACTAAAACCATGTACAGCACCTCCTGCAGTGGTTTATTTGTCATGAGGTCCTCGCCAGCGAGTATCATCGAGTTGATGCTTGGTTCCAGATAGCTCATATTCGCAGCGAATTCTTCCTTCAGCAGCATGCACTCAATACGCAGCTTATAACTACGTATTATAACATAGATTTGTAATACATAGATAAATTGTAAAAATATATTATTATTTGAAAAATATATTATTATTTGAAAAATATATTATGATTTATTAGATGACAGAATTGAAGACAAAATATTACTTTGGCACTTGAATGAGCTGCAGGAAGAACTTCTCGGCATTACCCAGCTTCGACTTGTCGCCGTCGAAGCTTTTGAGCATCTCGAGCTCGTCCACTTCTGGCAGTATCTTTAAAAGTCCACGTAGTTTTTCCGCGCCGATGTCGTCGTGGCCACCCTCCCTGATCAGCTGGATTATATCCTCATTCGAACTATCGAAAATAATAGTGATATCTTTTAGTTAATAATAGTAATAATATTTTCACTGTCCCTTCTTTCTTCTATCGTACCTTCGGAATTGCTTGAGAAAGATGTTAACGTTCAAACTCCTTTTCCCGTCGAGTAACGCAATCTGAAATTGCAATGAAAATATAATAATATACATGAAATTTTCAGTATATTATATTGCCAAGAGAAAATGGAAGCAACCTCCGTCGGTTCTCGACGACGTCGTTCGACGTCGACGCCGACGCCGCACGAGGACGAGCAGGTCGCCGGTGGAATCAACGGCGGTGCTTGTTGACAGAAGAGACCCTCCATCTCGGCCCAATCCAAGTCCGCCATCGGCGAATTCTGATGCTCGTTCGCCACGAGAGACCAAATGTTTCGTTTGCCGATCACCTGCGGTTATCGGTGCAATAAGGGAACGAAAAAAGGTAGATTCTGAAAGCATTATTCCACCCCCTCTTCTCTTCCCAATTTAAATACCTTATGATTGGGTATTTTGTTCCAGTTGATCGTCTTCATCTTCGTCTTGGGGACAGGGATCTCCTGTTGCGGCAGCAACTTGGCATGATTGCTAGGGGGTTCGGGGGTAAGCGCGCGCGCGACGGGGAGCACGCGAAGGGGGGGTGGCATCGGCGGCTCCATCGGCGCGTCAGCAACGTTGACGACGAGTGGCGGAGGCGGCGGGGGAGGTAGAACGAAACCGCTGGTACTCGATGATGGGCCGAAGGTCGTCGGAATCGGGGGTGGCGGCGGCGGTGGCGGCGATAAGGGTCCCGTCGAACCGCTGCTGGCCGGCAGCGATGCTTTCCGCGACGTTCCGCACGTTTGATCGGTGCCGCGGCAGTGACAGCATAGATTCGTCTGAAAGTACCAATCATCCCCGTGATACCTCAGTCGATTCCTATTTTCAATCTTAATTTTCTTACGCGTTTATGGAAGGGGTTTCGATAGATTTATATAATATATATTTTTTATTTATATAATAATTATGTATAATATATATATTATTTATATTATACACATTATATGAAAATTATATAACTATAAAAAATTTATATTATAATTATTATAATATTATAATATAATTTATATATCTGTTATATATAATTTAAATATATGTTATTACATCATTTAAATTATATATTATAATGAATTTTTTAAATTTCTCATTTAGAAATTTAGAAGAAGAGCTTTGGACAAAATTATAGATTAAATAAAAAGAGTGATTTAATTATTTAAAATGTGCATTTAAATCGAAAATTGAAAGCAGAAGAAAAATTTTGATATAGATATCGCATCAACCGTTAAATATATTTAATATTTACATATATTTACATATACTTATTTGTAAAGAGATAATATATTTTTCGAAAGATTATGTTTGTGCAAGAACGGAATGCATAATATTATAGAATGAGAATGTATCTGTTGTATACAATTAATTATTGTATTCTAATTAAATTGCTATTTGTAAAAGAATGAACGAGAGAGTTTCGCAAATAAAGTTTAATAGCGAATCGTATTCTTTGCAAAATCTTTACGGAAGAAACGCATTTATGTGCGCGAGTACACGCTTCGTGATTCATCGACATGAGGCGTGGTACGAGTTTCTTCTTTTATGGACTCGCGTCTTTCGGTCAAGTACGGTCAGAAAGTAAAAGTACACGACGGGTGTTGCACACATGCATGCGTGTTGCATTATATTAGTTTGCGTTAGCGCGGTTGACATTGATGACGATACCCGCGAGATGATCGAGAAATTTAAACGATCTGATGTAATGTAGACGCCACACCGAGGGTCTCTTCACGAGATTGCGTAATCGGCGAAAGTCGCTCAACGAATGGAACCGATAAATTTGCTATCGCGTCTCTTACGAGGAAGGGAACCGCGCAATCGTTCTCGTCTAATGCCCAGATTAGAAGAGATTGCGTAAGCGAATCGACGCTTTCTTCGGGCTTTTCGATTTCTATTTCCGCGAAATGGAACATAAATAAAACACTTACTTGAAGACTGGGCGATCTTAGCAATTTGGTGGCATCCTCGCGACTCTCCAGCAACGTGGCTCGATGCACCAGGGTCTCGGCGGTGTCCCACGCCAGATCACTGGCGGCGTCTTTCGGGTCCAGCCGCAACAGATGCTGCAGGACGCTCAAAAAGGGTATCTCCTGCGGAGTGTCTGCAACCTGAGAAAAGCTGCGTTTTGTCAGATGTCTCACTTAAATCGCCAGCAGCTTTTAACTGGTGACTGATCGATTGGCGATTAACAATTTGATGCAATAAACTCATTTGAATGAGATACAAGAAATGTAAATTGTGCACAATTTATGTCACTTTTAATATTTCAAAGTAAAAATTATTTAAACATTGAAATCTTTCGCACAAGGACTCGTCGAGAGGAGAAAAGGCTTGTTAAAAATACTGGCGAACGAGGGAAAGTATATTAAGAATGCCGGAAGTCGCTCACTTGACCGAGGATAGCATAAAACACATCCACATGAGAGGAAAGATCAATCCCGGGGGGTCCGTGATTGGTGAGCTCCTCGTCCGTCTCCCGTTGATCCTCGAAGGCGTCCAGCTGCACCCTTACATCCGGCGCGTGGCTCTTCCTGCAAGAACAATCGCCACTTTCCTGATCTGAGGATATTTCAAGCCGACAACACGTTGTCCGCTCTATTTCCGGCTCGCTCGACCGCGAGCTTTCTTTAGAAATTCGACTTCTATTTCGGTAAAGTCTCTTCCTCCTTCTCGAGACACATCTTCATGTTTTATGTTTTAATAAGGATTCAGATTTAATGTTTATAATGAGATTTAGAAATTTAAGATACAGCTCTTGAATATTTATACTGCCAAGAAAAGATCAATAAGTTTGCCGCGAAAGTATCATGTAAATGTCGTATTTTATAGATGGAATAATCACTTTAAGTCACAGTCTCAGATGCGATCACAAATCACCAATCTGTAGAGAATCCCTTGGGCGAGTCGCAAATCGCCCGAATAGTTTGGACGTGTTCTATAGAGGATTTTGCTACCTCAAAGCGCACGGAAATAGTCAGCGGATTCGCCGAAGCGAGATCTCGGGGCATCGAGAGATCCTCGGATCCAATAAATAGATCGGAATATGCGAAACGCCAGACGCGCGCGTGTCGGATTGCGACGAATTTTAAAATGAAGACCACTCCCGACAGTCCTCATTTTTGTAGGCACATTTATAATAAAAAAAAAAAATTAAATGCGTTTACGCGTTAATTCTGTCGAAAGAGTGAGAAGCTCGTCGGTCCCGGATGAAATAACGCGGATAAAAGGCGCGTGTGATAAATCAGATTAAAGTTAAAGAGCACCGAGATGAGACCGGGAAGACAGACGCAATTAAGATTCAAACGGAGAGATAGGTCGAGCATCCAGAACAGTCTGGGAGACCTCCAGCGCGTGTCCTACCGAGAGAGAGCGTATACCAAAATACTCGCCGGGACGGTCCAATCCTGCCATCGATCTTCGCCACGAGCAAAACAGAAGCGGATAAAGAAGAACACGACTGCGAACGCCGAGAGCACGGCCGTGACTCACGGGAAGCAATGCCGGGCGTTGTTAGAGTTGGAAGAGCAAAAAGAAGACGGAAGGAATTCTCCAAAAGACGCGTCTCTTCTTAAGATACTTGAAATTTTCACGCGCCTCGCGCGACAAAATGGATGGGTCTAAATGTGTGCGTAAAATAAAAAAAAAAAGAATATTTTACATTCCGACAGAGTAGTATCCTCAAACGTAAAAATAAACTCCGAGTTGAAGCGGATTTTTTTCTTCTCAAATTATGCTACTAGGAATCCCGGTTTCACACATGAGAAAAAAAAAAAACAAAGAAGTAAAATCATGATGCGATTCATCAACGCGATGCGTCGAGAATAATTAACATTCTTTACGACACTGTCTGGTGCAACCGGGAGAAATATTTTGCGACACCTCGGTCGATGGCGAACACAATGACATTTTTTTCTCTCCCTTCTTCCTTACCGTTGATGGACGTTAAATGCATCGACGCGGAGATGACAAAGAGAGAGACGACGACGTACACGAGCGCGACAATAAACGACAGGTACTCGATCAAGCGGGTCGCGGGATGCGAGACGGATTCGGAGGATGCAAACGCCGAGGACGCCGGCCGGCCGGTGCGTCGCGACGGCGGATGCATTTCTGGCGACGCCACGCGTCGCTGCATCGCGCTGGAGCGACGACGCGGTCGCAGGTGCATCGCGGTGTCAGTGAGGAGTTAATTCGGGCCTCTCCCGACCCCCTCCTCTCCCTTTGCGGCCCTTTTTTTTATCCCTCCTCCCTTCCCCACTTTGTCGATCGCCATCCTTCTCTCCTCCTGTTTCATTCAAATACTTACATACATTCCATTCTTATTTATTTTGTCAATTAAATTAATTAAATAAATTGAAAGGAATTAGGCTCTATATGTATTAAACAACACGACAAGAAACTAGCGATTAAGAGCCACAGCGGATGGTAATGCCTAAAAATTCTTTAATTGTACGCGAAAATTTTAAACGAGAACAAGGCATATGCATATATTTTACTTGGTGCATTTATCAAGATATAGATTCTCATTTTTTAGAATTCTATAAACCCTCTTTAGAGATGTTAAATTAAATTTTAATTAAATTAATTAAATTTTAATTTAATTTAATTACATTAAATTTAAATTAAATTTTAATGAGATTTCTCTGTTCACTAAAGTTGAACAGAGAAAAAGAGAAAGAAAAAGAGAGAGAGAGAGATGAATTGCCCTGATACATAGTATACTTGATTCTATTTCTCGCTCATTGGCGTCGCCGATGAAAGCATCATTTCTCAGATGTTGCGTCTGTCTGAATTAATGCGTACTGAATTAATTTAACGAGAACATTTTCCTACGATATTTCGTATCCTTAGGAATACGAAAAGCTATCATAATTCGACAAAAGCGATTTTTTTTCAAGAAAGAGACATTGATCGACGATCATGCAGATTTATTACCGAATTTCTTTTTTTATAGATTTGATTTTATTCTTTATGGTGAAGCAAACGATCGATATCGCATGATTGCCTTATGTACTTTTAGCATAATAGTAGCGACTGTTTGCTCAACAATGACTGTGTACTGATAAGCGAATAAAGTACATGATCGTGAAACGTTTAATATTATCGCCTTGAAAACGCGAACAAGAATGTCGCGTAAAAAAATTTAATCTGAAATGACAATCATATTATTTTATCTAAATAAAAATCAGCAAAATTACTTATACATACAGGATGTCCAAAACCACCGAATATTTAAAAAAAATTTTTTTTTGAGCTATTTGGAAATATGATATGATTTTCCCTTAGCAAATTGACTAGAAAAATTATTCTTAAAAGAACATTCAATAATTTTGATGATACTTAATATAAAACAATACAAATAAGATTCTATTCCCGTGTGCAAATGCAAACTTATTTTAGCCGTTCGAGAAATAATAATATGACAAGAAATTAAATCATTTATGATTTGTATTTATTTATTAGAACACATATTATTTGGATTATTGCATGCAAATGTGTATCGATATTCAGACTCGCCACCGTCGCAAAGGGATCCTCCCTCGTTAGTGAACCATGAATCCTTAGTGTAATTATCTTTAATTACACAAAGTGCGCGTAACATTAAGCGGTGTGCGAAGGAGAGATGGTATGGGTACAATAAAGCGTCTCCTTTCACACATTCATTATTATTTATTATTCCACAACGTTAAAGTGTTAATTAATTAATTAGTAAAAACACCGCAATTCCAGATAGTCGACGTAGTGTACTCACCGCAACTCGTTCAAAATCGGCAAGAGCTTGAGGCCTGAAACGAAAATCGCACATTGAAATCGTTGTGGAACTATAGAAATGTAGATTTTAAATATTTGTAAATCCATCTTGAGTGCAAAGCAAAAATTAAAACAAATCAAAAAGGAAGGAGAACAAAAGAGATAACACAGGCCTGCGAAGGTCAGGTACAAAAAGCGTAGGTGAATTTGATAAATTTTTCGATGCTGAAAACAAATCTGGTCGCAGAAATTCCTCAGTCAGATTTTCGAGTAATTTATAGTTAAATAATCAAAAAATCGTTATTTCGGCAACTTTTATGAATTTATTATGGAAGAACCTAATTTTTTGAAATATTTCTGCCAATGGCATCGTATAGTACTAATCTTCATCTTTTAAACACGTTTTCGATTGCCGCTGCACGATTTTTTTTCGCCGAAATATACAAATATAAAATTATAAGAAAATTTACATTAAAGAAAATTTACATAGGCATCAATATGGCAAATTCACATATGGCCATCTTGAAATTTAAAGACTTACATCTGTCAGATTTGGTTGTCGAAAAGCCCTGTAGAAAATACATCTAATATAGTTATTACATATTTTGATAAATTTTCCTAAATTTTATATCTTTTTATTGTGATTCTGTCCGCCATTTTTAATTTTAAACAATGACAGGTGGCATTCACAAATTTATATTTTTACCTAAATTTTAATTTGTAGTAAGACAGAGAGGTAATACGGTTCACATGGAATGGCTTGTTAAACCATTACGCATGACCAGTCTTATAATTGTATATCTCAGCGAAAAAAAATCATGTAGCGACAAGTGGATTTAAAAGGTGAAGGCTAATATTATACGATACCATTGGCAGAAATATTTCAAAAAATTAAGTTCCCTCATAATAAATTCATGAAATTAAAATAAAAATAATCATTTTTGGACTATTTAATTACTTAAAAAAACAAATTACTTAAAAACCTGACGTGTTGGAGAAATTCTAGCCAGATTCGTTTCCAGCGTCAAAAAAATCTATCAGATTCATCTACTTGTAACTATCAAACTTAAAGTTTCGCAAGTGTGTAATCAATTCCGTCTTATTTCTATTTCATTCATCTTTATAGGAGGAATTTTTGATGCGCGATTATCGAGCAGAATTGAGAGGAAGCTGCGCGTGGGCATCCGTCAAGAAGACTCGATCTCTTTCACTCACCGATAAACTCGTTGCGAATACGAATGCGATCCTTGAGCACCGGCGTCGAGATGACCAAACAATTTATGAACGCCAGCAATGCCGTCTGGTAATCCTCCGCCGTCGCTTTCTGCAGCTCGTCGACCACGACTCGCAATCGATAACGCTCGCCCTTCCGTTCCTATATACATACGAATATAAATCTTAATACAAGATCGCCCGTTATCGTCGCTCGTCTATTCCGGGAAACATCGCCTCTTGGGATATTCCAGCGCGGGAACAAAGACATCGGTCAACGTTCTCGCGAGATGAATTTCTACTTTTCTTTATCTATTTTTCGAAAGCCATTTTGCGCTATAATTAAAATCGAAAATCATCTCCAGCAAGACCTATTTATAGTAACTAAACACACTTTTTTTATTTAATGCTATGTGAACCTCTTTATTTTCATCCGCGATGAAAGAGGAACGACCGGTAATCTGTCGTCGCGTTCGTTTCTTGAATGTACATGCAAATTGCACGGCGATAAAAATAAATTTCGCAACGCGCCGGGCTCGCGATGCTTAACACAATGGAACACATTACGGCAACTCACTCTTACTTGTGTGCAGGAGTTAATATCACAGCGTTCTTTCTTTTATTCATTGAAGGGGGAGACCTTGAACCGCGTGACTTTTACCTAAGCGCAGCGCTCCTCGGGCTATCTTACAATGAGCAGATACAATACATTGTGCGTTGTCGATGATGTATAATTTGTCCCAAGAGTATTTATAATGAACGTTTCGAGTGAGAATGTCTTTATCGGGCCGACAAACTATACGTATTCTCTTAAATGGAATCAATATATTATCATTGAAAAGCAGTGATTAATTATAAATAGTTTCAATTAGAAAGTATAGCGTTTTAAATCAATGAAACCTCATTGAGAGAATCAATCAGTGATTGCTTCAATCAGTTACATTAAAAAAATATATCTTATATTATATATAACATAAATTTATAGTAATATATTTTTAATATATATATATTTTTTTAAATATATTTATAGTAATATATTTTTTATTAAAGAAATATGTGTATTAATTACATAGATGTGAATATTTTATTTATTTTTTGTGGGTTTATTTTGGAATTAAAAAATGTAGTAATATGCATGTAATTCTGAATTTTTGAATACTAGTTATACATATTTCGTTTTAGATATATTTATGTAAAAGCTTCCCCCCAAAAAATATTAATTCAAAATAAATAAGAAAAAGACAAAACTTCCTAGAAATATCAATACAAAAATAAATAAAAAAAATAAAATCTCTAAATTTTTATTATTATCTTGCAAATGTATATAATTTTCCGTTATAATTAGTGGAATATAAAACAGAAGAGCAAAATATTTCTACTGTAAAATATTCATGCTGATCTAGTGTTACTGTTTTTATGAGCGACATTTTTAACGATTCAGTTTAACAGAGTACGACGCGAGAGAGAAATAAGCGGAAATTGCATCTCTGCGGATATAATTCCACCTCGGGATTATAATCACCTGGTATATGTGAAGAGTATCGATAGCTCTCTGTCTGCCATCCTGGCTATAGACACATAACGCCGACAGTAGCTCCACGACTTGCTTCTTCACGGACGGACACGCCGTTTCCAACGCTGCAATCCAAGACGTTTAATACGTAGGGTGGATCCCACAGCGCGAGATTATGGCATCGGAAACGTTGTTAATAATTTACCTGAGGCGAGCTTGACGCAATAATCAGGATTATCCACGATGTAGTCGAGTCCGACGTGGGAATCCATGATGCTGGCTGCTGCATCTGCGAATGCTGATCTTCCAGTGTCTGTAAAAAGCAGTAAAAGAATCCCATTAGCTTGCGATATAGCATCTGTTAGATACTATAATCCTCTATTAATTCGAATTAATTTATCAAATTTAAACGAAATTATCAATAAGCACTATTAACTGATATAAATCATGTGATAATTATATTTTGCCGCTAAAAACGTATCGATCAACGAGATATTAATCGTTCAGACTAATTCAAATACACATGTGCGTCTGATTTATAACGCGTGTTTGCTAGCGTTTGTGGTTTTGTGTAATAAACGCTAATTGTATTCCGGTATTCTGCGAAAGGATACGTCGTTATCGCATAATTATTCTTAATATCCCATTAAAACGAGATGCCACCGCTGCTAGAAATAGATATTGCTGCGTGACAAACGCGCGACGCCATTAAAATTTCGCAATAAACTTTTTTTCCATAATTAATCGATGCAGAGATGCTCATAAAACACGTCAAAATTAAGCTATCGCCTTTTAGTTTCGAAAATTCTTTTAGTCTCGATTTTACGTTATCGTAAAAATGAAAAATCTTGGTAGAATAATTACATTTTTATTCAGTAGGTCTATAGGAATTAAATTAAATTCTTTAAAAAGTACACATTTTGAAAGAACTTTGATATTTTACATGCTAAATAGAAAGCTTTTAGTCAAATTTTATTGGTTCTTCTCGTGTCTATTTTTTATTACTTGGAAGCAATTAACGAATATTCTTCAGTTAATGACGAATAGTTCGAGAGCGCCGAAAAATCGTGGGAACGAAGTATAGAACCCGAAAGATAAAAGACCACATCAACGAAGACGACCAGTCGCGATTCGAAGAACACATTCGCGTATTTGCCTCTCAGCCGAACTCTGACTCAATCATCGAGCAAAAAGTGAATTTCCTAAGCGGCGAGGACTGTGATCGCTTTGTATTAAAGCGTGAAAACGCTTCATTTACGGCGCGAAGATTAATGATTCTCCGGACTGGATCGTATCGCGGTCTGCTCATAAAACGGCGAATTCGCAATAACAAGTGGAGTGGATCGAGGTCTCAAGAGTGAGGTCTAGGTTGAAGCGCGTGTCTCCATAACGGCGCATACGTGACCGGATATACGTACCAAAGTACTCGTTACACGCGAGTCCGTGTGTCATCATCAAGGAGAAAAAGATCTGAAGAAATTGAAAGAGAATAAAAAAATGAAATGAATGTCCTGTGCATAGTATCCAAATTTTGTTGTAACGAATATTAAGAAACAATTTAGTTTTTTTTATGAGAAACTGTATCTTCTAGATTCAAACCCCTAAATTAGATATGCTTAATGGTAAATGAATTTTTTGATCGCGCAGATTATTATCTCTTTCATATATCTCTTAGTTCATTGTCTCTTCGTTAGTTTCTATCTTCTGGGCCTTTATCGATGTAAATAATTTGTTATCATAATTATTTATACTAAAAGAATTTTCTTTCTCGTTTAAATAAATAAATAAATATGAATTTTTTCTCCGGTTAAATAAATAAATAAATAAATAAATGTTCGTTAAAAATTTTACGTGAAAAAATTACATATATATTATAATTACCGTCAGTTAATTAAACGGAATGAATAATTTCCGAGGGAAAGATTTATTATGCGTTTATTAGATTCTGCGTTTGAAAAAGAGAATATTACATGCTGGTCACCGTTCATGATACAAACGCCACCGGATATAGGCGGTTAACGGAAAGGAGCGAGAAAGTCATTGTAACGCAGGAACGGAGAGAGACGGGCGGAGTGAGAGTGCGTAGGAAAATGGAGAAGGAGCGACAGGCCGGGTAGTTTCGATAGTAGCGAGATAGGATAGGTAGCGACGGGATCAAGATGAATATACACACATGGTGTATATATTGATTGATACCTTCACAGGTATATACAAGATGTTCCAAAAGAACCGAACGTTCTTTCAACGACGGATTCTTTAAGTTTCTTCCTTTTTTTCTTTAATAAAAAAGGCATCTAAAATTTTTTATAAACAAAAATTAATTATAAATAAAAAGAAAGTTTGCGCGATCCCATCTTCGCTCGATCCCATCGCTAGGCGATTGCGCGCGCTCAAGAGAGGAAGAGCGGCAGGGAAGGAAATATAAGGGGAAAGACCATAGGATTGCGTCACCGCGAGCATGCACATACCTCGTTCTAGTCACGCTTAAAAATAGACCGCTTGAATATTAAGGACCACGAGAGGAGACACCGACCGGCCGAAAGCAGGCGGTATCAGCTGCAAATCCGAATATAACATATAAAGAGGCAGGTCTCTATCTGAGAGATGCATCGCGATGATTCACGTTTATGAGTGCTCTCGCTAGAAGCTAAACGCATAATATACGCACAGGAGAGCTTCCCTCGTCGCGAAAGATATCCGTTTCTCGACGATGACCTCGAGAGATGCTCGCTTGAGCGCGTTTACGTCCGCTGCCCATCTTAGGAAGACCGCGGACGATCTTAAGGTGTAAAAAAAACAAAGACTAGAACGGTCTAGTTTCTTTTCTTCAGACTCTGATGTTATCCAAAGAGGATCGCGCGGTCTCGTTAATTGAATCGTTCGCGCGAGCAAAAATTGAACTCGAGAGATATTTCCCACGAGGAAAAGTGTAAATTGCTGGATGATTGTGCTGCGGATGAGAAATCTTGCGACCAGATTTTTTTCTCTTTTTTTTTTTTACAAAAATAAAGACAAAGATTAAGAGCCTGAGACGCAAATCGTGATTATCAGAGTCTATGTGTTTCAGATAAACGTAAGAAATTTTCGATTGCTTTGGAAAATCCTTAGCGAATCGATCTATTTTTATTCGTTTCTCCGAAGATCACCTTGCCAAGGAATAAACTAGTACTAGTCTTCGCCATATGACACTAGAAAATTATAATTACGTAGTTGTATGAATCAAGCGCGCATCGCGCCAATTATGGACATCGACGAAACGGATGCGGGACTTTTTTCAAAACGTTCGCGCTTCTTGCGCAAAGACATTTTTTTTTTTTTTTAAAGAGAGACAAGCCTCACACGCAGGGCGGATGTACGAAAATTGCATTCGGCAGGTTAGCGGCCAGCCACATGATCGCTGCTAATTGCAAACAGGCGTAGGCAGGCGCGATACATGCTTGTACACACACGACCATCATGCGTGTAAAATAAAATGGCACTCACGGCGGTCGCGCGGGATACCATATCGGGCACCTTGTTGACCTCGTCTCTCCTCTCTCTCTCTCTCTCGCTCTCTCTCTATTTTTCTCTTTCTTTCTCTCGCTTATCTGGCTCCCGATTGTTCTGTCCTCCTGCGTTCGCGGCATCGCACTCGCTCTCTCGGCCCTCCTCCCTTCCCACGTCTTTCACTCTGCGACAAAAGAGGTTTCGGCTGTCGCCAATGTCGTTCCTCGGCTTCGTCACGCCGAGAGAGAAGCGCGATCTCCGATTTATTTCGCGATCCCGAGAAAAATAACGAGTGCCTTCCCCGGCGAGGATCGGCGCGGATTAGAACGGATTTCGCGAATCGAGTCAAGGAAACGGAGGAACGCGAAGAAGATTGCTCGTGTAAAAGACAGAGGCAATTAGACAATTGTCGAGGAAATTTCACATGCTTGATTTCTAAGGGAAACTTGTTTTTTTTTTAGCTGAGAGAAGGAGAGAGAGTCAGAGTAGAATAGAAATATATTTGCAAAAATTGTGCAAAAGATGATTAACATTCTGGACGTGACTGAATAGAGTTTACAGATTGGAGTTGGTACCATATAGAGCGTATTCTCAATAAAACTCAGCTGCATTCGTGTTTCATACCTCGCATTTAACGCCGAATGCTGTGTGAATTCGAATTTTATTCCTCTTACGCAAGTTGCGTATACAATGCGATATCTCGAGTGGAGAATCAAACGAGCGCCATTTATATTAAACGTGAGAAACAAACAAAGACTATTTCCGCATTTCTCGATTTAACTGCGATAAATATCCTTTTATGGATTTCGTACCTTGAAAAGAAGTATTTTTGCAAGTTTGCGTAAAAAAAAAGATTATGAGAGATGCGGAACCGGTTCATAGAACATAAATCATACGAAATTCGATTGTCGAGGATCCCAGGAGAATCTCAAGTAGGCGTTCTTTAGAAAGAATTAACTAAGTAAAAAATAGAGATTAAGCCTGCGTCTCAAAAGGAGAGATATAAATCAAAGGAAAGAAAGAAAGAGATACTTTGCATATTCCTTGATTTGCCAATTTTCTGACCAATTTATTAGAGAAGATTCCGACGAAAGGATTAAAGAGGTTACCATCGATGGTTACAAATATCGCGTATTCGAAAAAGTCTTGCGTAAAAAAATCTCAATTATGACGAATCCAACGAGGAACGTATCACAATGTTAAGAACGAGACAATTTATTGTTTATCGTACTTTTGTATGCAAAATGGCGCGCTCGGAGAGACGTAAAAATAAAAGAAAATTGACCAAGAACGCGGAACACATTTGCAATGCATTCGAAAAGCAGCTGCATTCGTCGACAAATCGTAAATCGCTTTGTTCGCCTGTTCACGCAGAACGATATTTTCGCTGTCATCCATTAGCGGAAAAGGCAAAGTGCGAAGTGGTTAATGGACGGCCATATACGGGCGCAGACGGCCGTGGATTTTCTGTTCTGTTCCCCTTTTTTCGTTGCCACCCTCCCCATGTTATGCGTTTCGGGGATTACGATCGCACTTTTGAGCTTAGAAGGATCTTTATTTTTAATCCGAGCCCGCGAGGCAACGGCACGTCGACGATTAAAAAAAAAAAAAAAGGAATCAGGCGAAGGTAGGCATCGAACGTCTCCATATAGGGCGCTAACCGAAGCCGGAGGAAGGCCTTTTAGATCCTAACCTGGGCCACTCGAAACTCTTACGGGGTGGCCTTAACCTCGCGATGAATTTGGGAGAGTCGAAGGTTTATTTGTTCGTTCTAGATTCAACGATTCGTAATAATAGCATACGCAAAAAATGATGGATGCAATTTTCGATTCTTTTTATCTCTGGCATGTTATAAAAGAGATGCGAACTGTTTCTCATTTTATATTTAACGCAAACGATAAAGTAATATCGCGATTTTAATAATTAAATAATTTATTATTCAAGATGCTGAGAAAATAAAGAAATCAACAAAATTACTTAGGAAAATATATTTTAGTAGCAGGATTTTAAAAAATAATTCTTTTTCGATATTCCTTCATTTGTTCTCATATAAAATAAATATCTTGTATAAAATAAATATCATTTTTTGCATTCTATATTTTTCATATTACATGTAATACGATTACAAAGAAAATTTTATCGAAATAAAACTGTGATTTGTCTGTTTACGGTATCCTTGACATGAAATTTTGTTATTCCGTCAATTTGACGAGGTACAATTTACGCAATCACGGGGATGATTGACGTATGTACAGCAGTCGCGTAGCGGGAACAGCTGATGCACTGGCTGTGCAACAAGTGGTTCTACGTGCTGGGCAACACGTGGTTTCACGTGTCGTGCAACAGGCGGTCCCACGTGATCGGGGCTCGACAATGACGGGCGAAAAGTCCCCTCGTCAGGGATGAATCGACGGATGATTTACAGACGTAAATGTCTCGCGAGCGCGGGGATAATCGCGGCGAGAGCGACGTGTGTGATCGAAACCGGGCGGCGTTCTCGTTTTCGTTGAAAGCACCGTCACGTTTCTCACCGCGTGAAAGCACGGCGACGATGGCATAACGCGATCGTCCTTGCCCGGAGCGAAATGAAATGCGCGCGCGGACGTGCTAGATCTCGTTATATTTTTTTTCACGTCTCGCGCGCTCGCGCACATGTGGTACGACGCAAAGAAACCGGGCGTGCAACGCGTTCGTTTCCAGAGATTTGCATTGACGATCGTTACGTCGCGTCCCGTCCTGATGTTTACGTCCTTCGAATGCGTAGCCGGCTTTGCATATTGAGCGATTTCGGTGACTGAACCGCTTGAAGCGATGTCTTATCGTAGGAGATCAAAAATGGAGCAAACGTGTGCGAGACGCCGCAAAGTTTCTCTCGATTTTAACAAATAATAATGACGATAAAAGCATTTTGCAAATTTCATAAATCTGATTCCACGTTGACAGTTGCATGTTCT